GGGCGCCACTGCGATGCGATGGGTGGATCTCGGCTAGAATAGTTGTCCGTCACATTGCGATGACGGGCTAAGGTGCACTCCTCGCGAGCCTGGGACATGTTGAAAGACTATTACATTGGACCTCTGAGGTCCACGAGCAATGGCTCTCGTGGCTCTTTTTTGGCTTTCTTGCCAGGCCGGAAGCTTGCCCCCTGCCAATGTCACGTATCCCCGAAAGCAGAAGCGATGTGCAGGCCTCTTCCCTTGGATGTCCCGCAGCGTGCTGGGCCTCTTCTCCGGATTTCTCTCTGGGTTTCTGCGACTCCTTGCGGCACCTGTGCGGGCTCTGGCAGGGCCAGTGGCTGGGCAAGCGAAGGGATGCAGCTCTTTCCGAATCCCACTTCCAGTCACGTTTTTACGCCCGCACTGCAGGCTCCGTTTCTGGATCCTCGCAAGACTCAACAGCTGTGCCTCTCAGAGAAGATTGTGGTGGCTCGGCTTCCGGTGCTTCCGTTGCCTCTGGTGCTCGGGATTCGACTTGTTTCGCCCAGGTCAACCACGACACTCGCATCTTCCGCTTTGCGCTGCCTTCTGCATCCATGCAGCTGGGCCTGCCTACAGGCTTGCACATGACGCTCAAGGCGGGGGTCGATCACAGAGACAGTCCTTGCCCACGCCACTCACATGACGAGGCGAAGGTTGACGGCAAGCCAGTGATGCGGGCCTACACGCCCATGACAGATGACAGCACGCTGGGCCACGTGGACCTCCTGGTGATGCTTGTCAGCAAAGATGGCGTTTGATGAGGACACAGGTGCTTGTTCATGTCATGACCATGCCTTGCAAGAGTTGGACAGTGACCGGGGAGGAAGATCGTAGTTCAAGACTGGGATTGTGCTTGGACCTAAGGAAGGTGTACTGCTTGTCGGATCAACAGGTGCTTGATGAAGTCATGATCATGCCTGAAAGAGAACTGTCAAACACGGATTCCTAGTTGTAGGGGGATGTTCCCTCCAAAAGTGACATTTCGCCACACCCTATGAATCAACCAGGGGCTCACATGAACCGCGGCAGATATCGATCTCTGACCGGAATCCAGATCCCCGAGGAAGGTGTACTTCAAGGGCGTGCATCCCAACTTCCCGGAAGGCGGCAAGATGTCCCAACACTTGGACTCCATGATGACTGGCTGCATTGGAACGTGCCCATCCGGCATGCACCCGCCAGAAAAGGGCTGAAGATTTGTTCCAAGACGCGTCTTGGAACTGGGAGCGAAGTGGCTGTGGCTCAAACCATGGTACCCAAAATGGCCCCTCGGGAAAATGAAAACAAAGACCAACACCTGCGTAACCCTGACGCTTTAGTTTTGAGCCACATTCGGTCAACATACAACAGTCTGTTGCCAGATTGGATGGGACATTGGGGGACTCGCCGAGTTTCTAATAAAGCACAGGCTGTTCCACGTCTTTCAGGGATAGTCACACGTCTTGACCGTAGCTCATATGAGTGGATTGCAAAGCCCTGAATCGAGTATCAACACAAACGTTCATCTTAGCAGGTTCACCTGTGTTGCAATATGTTCGATACATTGTTCATGCTGTAGACCACAGAGTTCCGCTCCGGTTTGCTGTGACTCAGGAAGATTGGAGACTGCATCGATGTAAAGGGCCCCATCGGCGAATTTGTGTACAAAGGCTGGTCATGGCAGGGTTCAGGCGAGCAGAAAGTTCACGCTTTGCTGGGCGCAGGCAAAGGCCACTACACTATGCACGGAAAGCCACATGGCTGCAGGGGAGATGGCGCATATGGCTGAGCCACCAGTGACATTGTGGTAGTATGTCAAAAGTTGCGATGACGGCTAATGGAATCACTCCGGGTGTCCTAGCTTAGGTGCAGGATTTTCCGCCCATCCACGCTACATGAAACATGGAAACAACCCCTAGCACTCCCGACACCCTTGGCATCACAAAAGGCTTGAGCATGCCATGCAAAGTGTTCTGAAAGCTGGACTTTCTATCCTGACAGTTCAATGTGATCCCGTATTCTTGTGTGTTCGATTCGCCAAGTTAGTAAGTTGCTGGAAACCTTGGTTACAACCCAGTAGTGATGGTTGAGATCCGAGGCCACGCTTCTGCACGGAGGTTTCTATGATTGCGGGCGGCACGGGCCTCACGCCATGCTATCAGGCCGGCGTATGCTGGCCAAAAAAACAACAACTTGGTTGCATTGCGGATTGGCGCGCAGGTGCTCTCGGCGATCCTGCGAGACCCAAAGGACACGACCAAGGCAGGACATGCCAGCTTTCAGCCAGGTTGCGGATGGTTTTGGCCAGGGCAGCTAGTGAGCGTCAGTCAGCCGGAGAGTTTTGGTGAGCGGCATTGAGCGGCAGTGAACGCAGAGATGGGACCAAGGTGCGACTCTTGTACGCCAACCGCACACCTGATGACATCCTGGCACGCGAGACTCTGGAGACTTGGCATGATTCCGCCCACCTGCTTAGATGCGTTCGGCGAGCGCGTAGCCACAAGTTCAAGCCAGGAAGAACTCGCAGCGAAGCATCCGCACCGCTTCGGGCTGACCTTTACCGTGGACAAGGCGACTTGAAAGAAATGTCAGCAGAGCAAAGTCGAGTGGAGTCAAGGCTTGAGCATTGCAACATTGCACTGCCATCAAAGCCCAACACAGGTGAGCGACCTCGCTGAGGCGAACGTCAGCCCTTCTGCAGAGAAGGGGCAGGGGAAGCAGCACCTTGACGGGCATGAGACTTGAAGGCTCACCAGGGTCAATCCGAAATCAGGAGACAGTTTGACAAGCTGCTGCAAAGCAATGTGCCGGTGCAACTCAGCACTTCAGCACGGATCAACCGGAGGCGCCCTGCGCGCGGGCCGAGGTGGAAAGGCTTCGTGGGCTTCGTTAATGAAGACATGACGAGGGCCTCGCTCTTCACTGCTGCCGAGAATCGCATTTGTGTCATGTGCGGGCCGCCGGTGATGCTTGACAAGGCGGGGAGGTGGGAGTTGGAGCTGCAGGAAAGCTTAATGTTGACCCCATATGAAAATCACCCCAGTTTATTCATAGGGGGGTGTCTCTGGGTTGTGGGGAATCATCGCTTGGAGGGAGACACCCCCCCCGATTAACAAACTGGGCCACAATCAAAACTCGGGTGGAGGAAGGTTAGTAAGGGACGATCCCATCCATAAAAAGCTGCGGCCGCCTTCTTAATCTTTACATGGTTCTGGGTCGACCATCTTCATACCGGGTTTTGAATATGACTCAACTGGGGTTGCTTAATAGGGGGGTCAACATTGAGGAACAGAACATTTGGCCACTGCGGATTTGCAGACAAAGTCCTGGCCAGCAAGCGATTGGTCCACGTCTCAGGCGTGCCGCCCTGCGCTGAAGGCCATGGGCTTCAGCGACGAGAACATTTTTTGCTTCTAGGCGCGGCGGGTGCCCTTTGCGTTTTGGTCTGAAGAGGACATGGCCATGGGTCAAAATCGCCCAACCGCCCTACCCCCCCGTTGATCCCATGTTTAGCCAAAATAAGACCCACGCACGCTTGGGGGGGGGGAGAATAGATCGACATATTTGGTCATGGGGCTTCCAGTGAACATCCGATTCAATCCAACCACTAAAATAGGTTCTAAAACGGGTGGTGAATTCACCTACCAACCAAAATGGGATCCCATTGGTTTTGGCCCACAGCCACATGAAGGCGTGCCCTAGGTAGGCATGTTGATGCAGTTCTTGGGGTTGAGCAGTGGGATTGATGTGTTCACATTCAGCTGGGGCGAGACGAATGCAAGAGGATTTGGGGAGAAAACGGATCGTCGATCATTGCAGACGACTCCCAGTCCACCGCGAGATGTTACGTTGTGTTCAAATCAGGCTCTGCCGGTACTGACATGCTGTCAAAATCAAGATCAAGAGACGCGGCCAAAACAAGATGGTGAGTACAGAAAAGACACGTGCTGAAACCTTGGGTCAACTCGGAGATTCCGATGTGGGGCAGTTTATTCGTGTGACCCTGTCAGGCCGCCGGCGTCTCCTCGCATTAATCAGTCGTCGTGCTCCGAAGGAGAGCAAGGACATTCGCACGTGTACCCCAGGCGGACCTGAACAACTCGAACTCGGAACTTGAGTCCCAACTTTTTTGTGCTCGAATTCCAGGAAACTCATTTTTTTCCAGCTTGGGTACCACCTGGGGTACAGCCTGCATAACGCAGACAGCAAGGTGCTGGCGAACACGGTGCCTTTCTGCGCGTAAAGGGCTCTTGCATGGAGTGCGGAGCCTTTGCACATATGCGATGAATGTCGCGCTGATTTGCAAAAGAGTGGCTTGTTGGCCTCAGCATTGCATACATGAGCAAACCATGACCTCTGCCTTCGCATCTGTTTTGTTGCTTGCGCTGGTGACCCATCAAGTTGACATTTGCAATTGCAAGTCATGCTTGCAGTCGGATATTCCCACCCTGAGCACGGCATGCGGTTTGGGTCCTCCCTAGGACCGACCTTGCTGTGTGCTTTTTTCCATGCGCAGCTTGGCAAGGCATGCCCGCGCGCACGTGGAGAGCCCAGCTCCAGTTCAGGCACCGCGTTGACGTGAGTCGCTGTGTTGACGCTTCTGGCATTTGGCTGTGGGTCATAACCTATGCCTCCATGTTGGGGCGGATGAACACCCATGTGCCACCTATTTTGATGTTCATGTGGGGTACAGGGTTTGACCTACAGTAATCTTGCGTCGCAAAACGCCCGCAACATGGGGCGCCCCGGGCCCCAAGCTTCCCATCGCCCATGAGCCGAGCAATAGAGCAGACGGGCATAGTGAGCTGCTGAATGACATGTTTAAGCGGCGCGAGAACTTGACGTGGTCAGCAATTTGCTCAGGTTGTCAGGACGTTGGCTGACACAAAGGTGGCCGCAATTTGCTCACAGTCTCAGGTCAGCTTGATGCATTGATCGCATCTTGCGTGGCTTGTGCAACCAGCCGCCCCTCTCCCGAATCGCGTGGGCGCCATGGAATGTTCCAGAGGCGCCGGCTGGGCCAGGCAGCGCTTAAGCAGATCTGGCAGCAGGGTCGCTGTCCCACGCCACGGAGTGGCGTGAGTTGCAAGTGATTTTTTTGGCTCCTTAAAAACAATAAAACAACAACAAAAGCACCCGGGTATGGGTCCAAATGAAGCCACCAGGCAGGTTTTGGTCTTTGTTCCCGGTTGCCAGGGTCCCATTTTGGTTACCTATTTTTGACCCACACGCGACCTGGGCTGAGTCAGTGGTGTTTTGGAGAGAAGTGCAACTTCTGCCGGGGGTCCTGGAAAACGGCTTGTCTTGTTCAAGTGGCGCACCGAGGCTACGAGCGGCTTTTGAACTCAGCGCTCCAATCTGGACGGTGGCAGCTGTCAGCTGCCCTGATCCAGGAGACTCGCAGCCTCGGCCTGGCAGTTTCGTCCCGGAGGTTTTGCCTGCAACTCGCTCGCCTGTCCCTGTGGCAGCGGGCGCTTCTCGAGCCGGGCTCTCGATGCGACGACGCCGCGAGCGCGGTGCTGGGGGCCTGCTTGCTGGAAAATGGAGCGGCTGAAAAGCTTGAGCTCAAGAAGCTTCAGTACAATCACCTCTTCGCCGCAGCTCAGGGAGACTGGGAGAGGATGCTTGCGTTGCTGGTTCATCTTGGCAGATTGCCGCAATTTCTTGCCAGATCTGATGCTTGCATCGCTTATAACATGGTTCTGAAGGCAAGCGCCAGTGCCCGTCACTGGGAGAGTGCTTTGGCTCTTCTCAACAACATGCATCAGAACCAGGTTGTACCATCTGTTCTGACTTTGGGAACCAGCTTGGCTGTTTGTGAAAGGTTGAGCAAGTGGTCCTGGGCACTGCAGATGTTAGCTGATGCCTGCAAATCTGCTTCGCCTTGGCAGCACACACCGCCCAATGAGATTTGTTTCAACACGGCAATCGCATCCTGTCAGCATGCTGGGCACTGGCAATGGTCGCTGCACCTGGTGTGGGATATGCACCGTCGAACCTTGCAGCCAGACAGCGTGGGCATTGCGTCGGCGGTACGCTCTGCAAGCCATCCGCAAAGCCCATGGGCCGGCCGCATAGAGGAGCTGTTGCTCGACATGAAGAAGACACGACTCTGGATTGCAAGCGACGGCCAGCCTCGAGAATTGGGAGGCTCGCTCCTGTCGCGTTTCGGCGTGGGTGCTTGGCATCGAGCCCTGGGCCTCAGCCTCACCTCAGATGCAGAGACGTTGAACTCGGCCCTGGCGTTGCTCCGGAGGGGGAAGCGCGGCTGGGCGCTGGGCTTGCGCTTGATGCAGCATCCGTCAGCAGATGCTATCAGCACTGCAACAGTTGTGCCATTGCAGGAGGAGTGCCAACAGCTCAGAGCACTGCACAGTGTCCTGCCGCAGCTGGTGAGACATGCGCACAGGCTGCTCGCCGACGATTGCCCAAGCGTGCATTGCAGCAATGGGAAAACCGTGGCGATCAACAATTACGACATCCTGGCGGCCCTGGGAGAAGCGCCGTTCTCGTTGCAACTGGCCCTAGCACGAAGCCTTCAGCCCCTTTTGTACGACTTGCGGAGCCTCCGGGCAGATCGCACGCGCTTCACGCCGAAGGTCGCTGCGACGGCCGGCATGTTCTTCACCCGGGAGGCGTGCCGGAGCCTGAAGCTGAAAAGCGTCTGGCAAAAGATTTGGCAACATGCAAAGGAGATGGTGTGTCTGTTTTTTAGGCATCGGACCCCCTCCCCCCCCAAAAAAAATAGTGGTGTTTTTCCTTTGTGGTTTCCCTTTAAACTTTGAGCCCAACGAAGAAAGGGTATCTTTTCAAAAAGCATAAAACGGTCCTTTACGTGGGGTGTCCGTTGGGGAAACCACCCAACATGATGACTTTCACTAAATGGGGAAAGTTACCCATGGTCATTTTGCGGCCAGGTTAACATGTGTATCGCAGAAAAAATCAGGGCTTTGAATTTGAGGTTACGCCATGTTGCTTAGGCGGCGTTAAGCAAAAGCCTTAGACTTGAGCAGGTTTCGGCAGAATTTCTGGAGAATCAAGCAACATCAACAAGAGGTAAGCGGAGTCAAGCAGAGCCAAGCAGTCAAAAAGGGACAAGCAGAATCACCCTAGCCAATCCAAAACCCAAGCCAGCCCTTTTAACCCAAGTATGAACTCTCCAAGTCTCCCTGAGCCCACTCTTTAACCCTCTCCTAAATCCACCCTAAACCAACTAAACCAACCCTAAACTCGCCATAAACCAACCCTAAACCAGACCCTAGACCCACTTCAACCAACCCTATCCCACCTCTGATCTCGTGCAAACTGACGAGGCTTGAGCGCCATGCTTCGATCAACAACCTCAAAACAGAGGCGCGACCTCTGTGCGTCTTGCTTGCATGGTGTGGGTGAATAGCGGGTCAGTGTAAGCTAGAAAACAATCCCTTTGCACCAGGCCTTCTGACATAGTTGCCCCCGAAATTCGATTTACTGCTTGGTGCTATCGTGGCACATTTATGCTATCAAAGTGCTCAGTCACCCTTTGTGCTGTAAAAGGCTTGCGAGTTGTGGCCGCTGCTTTGTTTCATGACACCGTCCACGCCCGCAGCTGTTTTGGAAAGACCCACTTACGGACGGAGTCCTTCGTTGGGCATCATTAGCATGGCCAAGTCTTTGCTTGTGGTAGGGCATGGGCCCATTGGGCATTCCTTCCTTGAGAAGATTACATCTGGAGAGTACAAAGTGTCGGTGCTGTGTGAGGAGCCGCGGCCGGCTTACAACCGGGTGATGTTAACGCAGTACTTCGAGCACATGGACACAGAGAAGCATGACAAGATGAAGCTGTCTTACGTTAGCGAGGAAGAATTGAAGGACCTGAAGGTTGAGCTCATCTACGGCCGGGCTGTGGGAATCGACCGCGGGTCCAAGAAGGTGTCGTACACGAGCGGCGAGTCCACACTGACGGCGGGCTACGACGTGCTGGTCTTGGCCACGGGCTCCTTTTGCTTCGTGCCGCCGGTGCCGGGCATGACCATCCCGGAGAAGAAGAACGTGCACTGGCCAGACGACCCGGCGAGCCGACCCGAGGGCATCTTCGTGTACCGTACCATCGAGGACTTGGAGTCGCTGCTGGCCACGGTGAAGGCGGGCGCCAAGCGCGCTGTGGTCATCGGCGGGGGCCTGCTGGGTCTGGAGGCGGCCAAGGCCGTCTACGACCTGAAGCTGGAGAGCCACGTGCTGGAGATGGCGCCGTACCTTATGCCCACGCAGTTGAACGAAGCTGCGGGCTCCGTCTTGTGCAAGAAAATCGTGGATCTGGGCGTTCACGTGCACTGCGGGGTGCAGATCAAGCGTGTAGTGCAGGAGGATGGCAAGGTCACGGGCATTGAGCTCCTGGAAAAGGGCGCTGAGGCGCCCAACATCTTGGAAACAGATCTGATCATCGTGTCCTGCGGCGTGCGGCCCCGCGACGAGCTGGCACGTCAGTGCGGCTTGGAGCTTGGCGCGCGGGGCGGCGTGAAGGTGGACAGTGGCCTGCGCTCCTCGGACGAGTCCATCTATGCCATCGGTGAGGTGGCGGCCATCGGGGGCAACATGTGCTACGGCCTGTGGGCGCCCGGGGTGGAGCAGGCAGAGGCGCTGTCGCAGAATCTCCTGCAGGGCAGCGGCACGGCGGAATACCACTCCAGCGACCTCAGCACCAAGCTGAAGCTGCTGGGAGTGGAGGTGGCCTCCTTTGGACGCAGTGCGGACTTCTGGTTCAAGCGCCAGTTCGATGGCAAGGACCCCACAGTGAAGTTCATTGAGAGCAAGGACGATGTCTCCGGCACCTACCGCCGACTTTGCTTCTCGGAGGACGGGACCAAGCTCATGGGCGGCGTGCTGGTGGGAGATGCCAAGGACTACACGAAACTCTTGCAGCTCAGCAAGAAAGACGACCTCGGAGGCAGCGACCCGGCCTCACTGGCCTTCAGGCGCCCGCCACCCGGGGCCGTGGCTGGGGCGCCGATGGATGGCGGCGATGGCACCGGTCTAGCGGATGACGACGTGATTTGCACCTGCGTGAGCCTCACAAAGGGCCAGGTGCGGCAGTCGATCATCGACATGGAGGCGTACACGGTGCCTGCCATCAAGAAGGCTTGCAAGGCTGGCACTGGCTGTGGCGGCTGCGTCTCCCCAGTGGGCGAGGTGCCAAAGCTCCTGGCCCATACACTCAAGAAGCTGGGCAAGGCCGGGGCCACCGGGATTTGCGCTCACTTCAGCTACTCTCGCAGGGAGCTCTTTGACATCATCAAGGTCAAACAGCTCAAGTCCTTCGAGGACGTCCTGGCAACTGTGGGCAAGGCTGGCACGGGCAATGACGGCTGTGAGCTCTGCAAGCCTGTGATCGCTTCCATCCTGGCTGGCTTGTGGAATGACCACGCACTGCGCGAGGGCCGTGATCAGATCCAGGACACCAACGACCGCTTCCTGGCCAACATCCAGAAGACGGGCACCTACTCTGTGATCCCACGCTGTCCGGGTGGTGACATCACTCCAGACACCCTCCTGGCCTTCGCCACGACGGCCAAGAAGTACGGACTGTGGACCAAGATCACCGGAGCCCAGCGCCTGGGCATGTACGGCGCCAAGATTCACGACTTGCCAGACATCTTCAAAGAGCTGGTGGATGCCGGCATGGAGACAGGACAGGCCTACGGCAAGTCCCTGCGCACGGTGAAGAGCTGCGTGGGGAGCACCTGGTGCCGCTACGGACAGCAGGACTCGGTGACCATGGCCGTCACCTTGGAGCATCGATACCGAGGCCTGCGATCGCCCCACAAGATCAAGATGGCGGCCTCGGGTTGTCTGCGGGAGTGCGCGGAGGCGCAGAGCAAGGATGTGGGCGTCATCGCCACCCAGGCCGGCTACAACCTCTACGTGTGCGGCAATGGCGGCGCCAAGCCGGTGCATGCCAAGCTGCTTGCCACGGACGTCACCGAGGAGGTGTGCTTGCAATACGTTGACCGCTTCCTGATGTTCTACATCTCGACTGCCAAGCACCTGCAGCGCACCGCACCTTGGCTGGCTGAGCTGGAGGGGGGCATCGAGTATTTGAAGAAGGTGGTCATTGAGGATTCGCTGGGCATCGCTGCTGATTTGGAGGAATTGATGGCGAACAACCGCGGGAACTTCAAGTGCGAGTGGAAAGAGGTGGCTTACGACGAGGACCTGCGCAAGAAGTTCAAGCAGTTCGCCAACACCAACGATGTCCACGATTCTGAGCAGATTGAGTATGTCGACATGCGTGGCCAGCGCCATCCCAACACCTACAGCCCACCGGATATCACCGGTGCAGCGCTTTTCTCCAAAGATCAGGCCACTGCCACTTGGGAGTGGATCTTTGCCGGCAAGGTGACGGATTATCCCAAGAACGGCGGCCTCAGCGTGAAACACGGCAGTCAGGAGCTTGCCGTTTTCCACCTTCCCAAGCAGGCTCCGGAGGATCAATGGCTGGCCACACAGAACCTTTGCCCCCACAGGCAAGCTCGAAGTATCTCCAGGGGCTTGGTGGGCGAGCAGCTGAGTGGTGTGCTTACTCTGGCGGATCCTATCTACAAGACCACCTACAACTTGAGAACCGGCGAAGGCCTGGGCAACCCCAACTTCAACCTGTCGACTTTCAAGACCAAGGTGGAAGACGGCAAAGTCTTCGTGCAGGTGCCTCCCTGCCAGGAGATGGAGGAGGCCTTTGAGGCGAAGATCCAAGCTGCCTTTGAGGCTGAGGGCAAAGAATACAAGAAGAAGGTCGGCGGCCCAATCGCCGCACCCAAGGACTTGTCCTGGTGAGCGCCCAAACAGCACCCGACAGCACAAGAGTCATTCGAGGCATCTTGATGGTGCCGAGGTTGGCGGCTCCTGTCCTTCCCTTATGGCTGAAAAAGCTGAAGGGGCGGAGCAGGTTCGAAGCCATGCTAGATGCCACTCCAACTGATGGTTGTTCATTCACCAGTTGTTGTTTTCCGTTCCGAAAGAGGAGTGACAAGCTGCTGGGTGGTGTGGAGCGCACCCAGTCGCGTTGCAGCTTCCAATGGAACTGCACCATTTCCCGCGAAGCCGACACTAGTCCTGCGGAGAAAGTGTTTGCAGGACGAGGGGCAGTGAGGGCGTCATCCTCGCCATTCTGACACTGGGCCAAGGTGTGGCTGTCCAAGCGCCTGTTTGCCGGAAGCTGAGCAGGCTCCACCGAGTCAGGGCAATAAAAATTACACCTCACCACCTTCAATGTGTGCGGTTCGGTCATGCCGTTTCAACAGTATGCAGGCAAACAAGGTCCAATGTGCGACGGCTTTCCAGGTGAGTCATAGGGAGACTTGAGGCATGCCCAATACACTTATTCGCAAGTTTGGATTAATCCAAAGGAAACAGATAATAAGGAACTCAGCAGATTTGAGCTATAATGCTTCCTGATTATGTTTATCAGTTTGATTGCTTGGGATCATTGTGTCACTTGGAAACTTTGGATCATCAGGGACAGGGCTCTTCGTTTTCCAAGGACAGGTAGGATAATTCAAACGACTGGAATGACTGGCAGATTGGGTATCCTGATGAGGTAAATCACTTCGCAAAAAACGAACTGAATCGGCCAACTCGGAAACCCAGCTAACCAGGAGACTTTGGCAATCAGGATGCCCAGGATATTTGATTCTTCAGGGCAACGCTGTTTTGGGGATTATGAGCATTGTTATGATCATTCAGATACAGCAATGGGAGTAGCTGGGATCATGGGCCTGGAAAGATAGAGTAAACAGGAGATGTGGGTAGTCAGGAGAAGCTGGGCATTTGATCTAGGAGAGTCAGGCTGCAGAGGGTACTAGACTGAGTTGCATAATGAGAGGCTAAGGCACTCCCCTTTTCCTCACCCAACTGAGTTGGAACTATTGGGATAGTCAAGGCTACTGCGGACATCCTAAATCAGGTGCTGGTGCTGCTTCTGCCTGTGCCTGTGCCTCTGCCTCTGCCTCAGGCTGGCTGGCTGGGTGCTCCTTCTGCTCCTGCTGCTTGGCTGCTCAATCCGGCAGAATCGCTCCAACGGATGAGGCGCAGCACCCAGCATATCGACCTTGTTGAGCGCTTGGTCAAGCAGGGCCAAGCAGCCTCAAGAATCAAGCACAAGCAACAGACTCAAAGAGGGTCAATCAGAGTTACGCTGAGTTAAGCAAACACACTCCTCAGACTTACTGTAAGCAGGGTTTGGCAGAGTTTGCATAGAATAATCAATGTGATCCAAGCAGAGGCAAGCAGAGTCACAAGAGGCAAGCGGCGTCAAGCAGAGTCACAAGAGGCAAGCGGCGTCAAGCAGAGTTAGGCAGAGCCGAGCGGCAGAGTCAGATGCAGTCACACAGAGCCAAGACACGCCCAGCAGAACCAAGCAGCTCAGACAGCATGATCCGAAACAGAGTCAGGCAGAGTCTAGCAGAGTTGAGAAGAATCAAGAGGTGCCAAGCAGAGTCACACAGAAGCTTGCAGAGCCAAGGATAGTCAATTCATGTCACACAGAATCGTGCAGAGTCAAACAGAGTGAATTGACACCTGTGACAGATGCTGCTTTGCTTTTGAAAAGCAGGTGAGATCAATGGTGGGAATGGCAACCGAACGAAGAGGACGTTGCAGCGAAGCCGTACCTTGACAGACATTGACACATTGTCATGTGTAGAATTGTACTTGCGCTTGTGCTTGCCAGTGTTCAGCAGGCTGCGGCCAACCATGAGCTGCTGACTGATGGATGAAACTGAAGCTCCGCTTGTGTGGTGCTACAGTCCAAGTCCCATAGCCAACGACCGACCAAATCGATGGCAACATGCAAGACAAAAAAAAGTAGCAGACACTCGAGTGCATACTGGCGTGTCTTTCTTCAGGGGAACCCTTTTTGGTTGGCTTTAAAGGGAACCCAGGAGGACAACCACCACTTTTAGGGTACCCGCATTTTGAGACAGACCCAGATATTGTGGCGGTTTTCAATGAATTTCAAGCAGGTGTATGATTCTACCTTTCAAGTAAGCTTTGGACTTGGAATCTTTCCGGCTGTCCTTGCTGGTTTGATTGTGTGGTCCTCCTAAAGGTTTGGTTGTGATGGCATCTGACACCGAGCGGCTCAATTGAGCAAATCCCTGCGTAACATCATTGATGGCGCAGATGGAAACAACTCGCAGCTAGCCTAAACTCTTTTCTGTGGGCACTCCGCTTGGACATTCAGACGATCTGCAAATCTTTGCAGCCATTGTTGTTTGTTGTTTCTTGGGTATGGGCAACTTGTGGTGACTCAGCTGAATGCGGCCACTGGGAATGCCGGATGTGCATTCTTGTCAGCCTAGGTGATGGGACAATTGAGGATGGCAAGATCAAGCTCTCTACAGCCTTGTGGGACACAGAGCTGGAGATGCCACCCCGCCAGGATGCTTCCGAGGAACCTGTGCCTTCCATACCTGTACTTGTCAACTGTGGGTCAAAAATAGGTACCCCAAATCCTGCGGTCCCCTGGTGGTTTAATTTTGACCCGTACCCATTTGACATAGTTCACAAGACACGAAATGCCTCTCTGGCAGGCTGATCAAAGAGACGTCAACACCCCGGACAAATGGATCCACAGGCAACGTCAGTGCTCGATTCGTCTGAGTGTGGGCTCGTGATTCAGCCCTGTCGCTTGTGCCGTTCAGCCTTGTGAATGAGCGTGTCGCTGCAGAGATACCAATGCGAGTCTCGTGCATCGCACAAGAAGCCATTGCCATGGCAACCAACATGTGAGCCAAAGCAAGATCTTGGGTTGCCGTGAGTCTTACCCACGTCAGAAGCCGACTTCTCGCCTCAGCATACCAATGCTTGAGTCTCAGACGCCTGCCAGGCATCCAGCCATGTTGCGCAACACTGGTGCTCATCCCTTTAACTCTGAGCCGCCGCTGAAGCATTTGCAGGACGAAGGGATTGCGTGTGTCTGCAAGGCTGGCGTTGCATATTTGTTTGACCCGCCAGGAGGCAGGATGGATCACGCCTCCCTCTTTGTATGTGGTGCGGAATCATGGAGCTGTTCCCCAGCTCTCCTGGTCCGAGCACCGCCTCAAGATCACAGGACCGGGGGTGTGAAGAGTCCTAGCACTCTCAAGGCCTTAGTTGTTTGCTCCCGTTGATCAACAGTGCAAGTTGGAGCCAGGAACTCACATGTATTCACCCTCCGGTGGGAAGTTTGTGGTGGGAGCGAAGCATCTTGATGCGTTTGGGATTTGGGTCCTGGGGAGGCCACCCATTTGTTCCTGAAGCAACAGACCTGCCCGCACGCAAGTCCTGCCGCGAAGCCCTGCGGCGGAAAGCAAGTTTCTCCTTTGCCATCTGGCCAGGGTTCAAAGCCAATGGTACCATTTTGGGATAGGTGCACCACCCACTTTAGTCTGTTTTGGTGATTGGGATGTTGACTGGGGGTATCGAGTTTTGACCCATAGCCATTTTGGTCCTTCCATCAGGGCAAGCCAGGCACGTCTGAGATACTTTGGGCAATATGCTTCGCTGCTCCCACCTGCGATGATCGCCTGCACGTGCCAGAGGACCAGGAATCCTGGCAGGTGATGTCTTAGGGTGGCTCAATCAAGACCAGGCAACATTGTGCCTCCCAAAGCGGAGGTTTTCCTTTGGTTTCCCTTTAAACCTACCTGAAAATGGTATCCTCAAGAAAGACACCCGTTGATGGTGGTGGGGTGTCATAATCAGCGCGAATCCAAACTCGGAGATGATCTTTGGATCAAATCCCAAAGTTCTCTGATCGATCTAGTCTTTAGTCAGTGGTGCTTGTGTTTGTAGCATGGGGGGGGGGGGGCAGAATGTTCACGTGCAGAACAACCTCACCATGATGTATTCGTGTAAGACACTTCACGGGCACATGTGTGCACCGTATTGATGTGGGGTGCTGGCGCAAAGCCTTTAGTGATTTCTGGTTGGTGCCAGCGGGTGAAGGGTTGTGGCGCAAAGTGATTCCCGGATGGTGTTTCTGTTTGCCACATTCTGCTGCAGGTGGCAGGGGGAGGGAGGGAGCCCGAATAAGGCATCAAGGCTCTCCGCCCCCATGAATCCTCCTCAAAAACGGCCAACGCCTGCAGTCTGCTGCTGCCGAAGCAAACCCTTTCATACTAGGGTCGAGCGTTAGCGCTCCAGTTGTGGGGTTTGCTTGGGAGACCGTGTTGTGCACGGAAGGAGTTCCCAAGCCTGTTGATCTCAACATGGACCAGCTGTCATCTGGAGAATGGGGTACCATCGTCTCCATCCCGGTGACCTTCATTTGTGCTGGCAACCGTCGCAAAGAGCAGAACCTTACAAAAAAGACAGTGGGCTTCGACTGGGGTGCGGGTGCGGTGGGCAATTCTGTTTGGACAGGTGTTCGACTTTGTGACCTGCTTGCTGCAGTAGGCATTACTTGCGCCTCGAAGGAACATCGCTATGTCCACTTTGAAGGTCCCTTGGGGGAGCTTCCTCAAGGGAAGACTGGCTCTTATGGCACCTCCATTGACATCGGCTGGGCACTGGACAGGGAGAGAGATGTATTGCTGGCATTCAAGCAGAACGGGGAGCTGCTGACGCCTGACCATGGCTTTCCTTTGCGGACCCTTCTGCCTGGGTGCATTGGTGGGCGCATGATCAAATGGCTGACCAGCATGTGGGTCGCACGCTGAAATTACAAAGCTTGGCTTCACAGTTGTTGGCAGTTTTTTTTTACCGTCCTGTTCATTTTTAGTAGGAGGCTGAAAAAACAGCTTCTTGCTAGCTACCAAGGGTTGTAAAGCTGGAGTCAGGCACATAGCCCGGTGTTGCACGGTGATAGCTTCTTTGCACATTTATCAGAGCGAAACACGGTAAACAAACAAACAAACACGGAGAGAGCAGGATTGCAATAAACGTCGAAGTGTCACTGCAGTGCCAAGGTTTCGGATCAGCCCTCAGAGAATCACTACCACTACTTCGACAATCGTGTTTTGCCGCCGCACGTGGATGCTGACCTTGCCTATGCAGAAGGTGGAATGCTCAGAGTGCAACTAAGGACCCAGTGAGACGTGTTGGTCTAGAGACTAGAGCTCTCGCTGCATGACAGCCGCCCAAGAGACTCGAGACATGGCGACAGGCTGGTGGTACAAGCCCGAGTACATCATCAATCACATAAACATCAACTCGGCCATGTTCGAGCCGCGCCACAATTCTTTTGTGAAGCTCGATGCACCGCCAAAGACTGTGAAGGCGTCGGGAAGCCGGGGGGGATTGGGGGGTGAGGGCGGGAAAACGCGCTTGACTGTGGCTGCAACCGGATGGATCTTTTATGGATATGGGTCAAAATTAGACCACCAGGATATGGGCCCCAGGTTTTGGCATTTCGATGTTTCCCTTTGCTCCATGTTTGGGGTTTGGCATTTTTGACCATATCCTTTGGGTCTTTTGACCTTGTAGTGCCCATGCACTGCGCATTCTGCGTTGTCCCTGTGGATTGTGAGGTCAGCGGCTATGCCTATACCGGCGGAGGGCAGAAGATCATCCGCGCAGAGATGTCCTTGGACTCAGGCGCAAGATCGGCTCGCTCCAAAGTGACGGAAGGTCGGTCGCTTATTTTGTAGGTGCCTGTGTTTTTCTAGTGGGTTTCAAGGCACACCGAAGATGAACAGCCAACATGTGTTTTTTTTTTTTGTGTGTTCTTTTTTTGTTGGGGAGTGGGGGGGGGGGGCTGGGGGTAAAAGAAGACACTCAGAAAGGCCGGAGAGACAGACGGTGAATCGCAGAGGCAAGTCGTGGGAGATCACGGAGCTGACACGGCCAGAGGATGAGATTGCCGCCGCCCGTGGTACAGACAAGTACTGGTGCTGGGCATGGTGGGAGACAGAGGCAGGATGCCATGAAATCGCCAGCACTTGAAGGCAGACTTGAATGCACAACACACGATGCGGCAGGAGGTGAAAGGGTCCGTACCCCAAGCGACCTGTCATTTGACACGTCTAAGCGTGCCAGGTGGACATTGACAGCTTGGCTTCAAGCGAGGAGATTTGTTGCCGTGCCTTTGACTCCAACCAAAACACCCAGCCGGTGCAGCTCACATGGCCGCTTGGCTGCGCACTGGGCTTGTCACCGTATCTGGCGCATGGCGCACGCGAGCGCTGTAATGGCAATTGAAGCAAAGGACGGTGATGGGCATGCTGAACAACCCTATCTACCGAATCAAGATTCACCGCGAGCGAGGCATGCTTTGGTTTGAACACCCGACACAGGGCTCGATGCCCGGTGGCTGGATGACAGAAGATGCCGGCACCTAGCTAGCAGTGCATTTCGTTCTTGCGGTTTTGTCCTCGTTGGTTTGAACCTTGGCAGATGGCCACGAGTGGCTGCCTTCCACCAAATATTTTGCTGGGCATCCGTGGCATCCATGCGTTGCAGCCAATACCCAAGGCAAGTTCAACGATTCCTTCGCTGTGCCGGCCACACCCGGGAAGACGGGCGTGCCACCCCTGCGACCTGTAGCAGCAGTTTGGAGAGGATGGAGGGCAGGGGGGAGGACATTGCCGGCACCACCACAAGCACCCACCAAAACCAAAAACCGCCCGATTTTGCCAGGTCGGATGGGGTGAAATGCGCTGCTCATGTTGTGGAGGGTTGTAGCTGGCGGTCGAGCAGCCTCACATTGGCGTGGAAGTCAGGAAGTGCCAGAGGCAATCACTTCCTCAATTGGGTGTGGCTCAAAATTCAAGACCTAGGGTTACGCAGGTCTTCGTCTTTGCTTCCATGTGCCATGGTACCTCAAGCAAAAAGTAATGGTAATAATATAGTATAATATAGTCACAACAACGTCAACAAAAAATAATAACAAGAATAATAATAATAATGGTATTACAACAACAGGTTTGGCAAATGTTCAAAGAAGTGATTCTTATATCATTTGTCATATTGTTTCAATGTTTATATGTATATTTTAGATTATTCTCTTGTAAATATATTATTAAACAATACTCATATTTTCAGATACATACCCGCATAACATACATACACACACAACAAATATATCTGACATTTTCAAGTGAATTCCATTTGTTGAGCCACAGCCAATTGTCAAGGGCCTGACCGAAGCATCACCAATCGGTGGGTGCCAGGAGCGTCGGCTGGCACGCAAGCTGCCAAGCTCACCCAGGCTTCGGCATAGGTCCATGTTCCATGGGAGTTCCCCACAGCTGAACATCTTATTTTCCAACAGATGGGACACGTACTCATGGCTTCGTGGCACCTTGCCATGGCGCCTGATGTGCTCAGATCCCTTGGATTTCTTTGGGGTCCGAAGGTCTCAGCCGCCGCTGGCGCGTGGCGCGTCAGACTTGTCACATGCCTTGCCAGGCTGGCAAGCTTGTGACGTCCACGGAGAAATGGCTGACCGAGGGAATCACCATGGAGGAGGCAAGCCGAGCCGGGAGCAAAAATCTTGGTCTAGACCTTGAACGACCACTGCTCTTGGCATGTGTTTTGGTTTTCCGTTGTTTTTGGTTCTGTTCGGTTTTAGTAGGGGGCTGCAAACAACATTTTGTTGCTACCATACCAAGGGGTGTGAAGCTAGCTTCTCTTGGATATCCACTTCAAAGCAGCGCGTCTCTTTGGAAAAACAACGAAACGACCGGCTGGCTTCGATGCAATGATTTGGAGCTTTTCAATGCCAGTATGACAGCTCTAGCTATTTTCCGCTTCCTCTTTGTCTTTCTCTTTGTCTTTATCTTTCTCTCACTCTCTCACTGTATCTCTTTCCCTTTTTCTCTCTTCTCTTTCCCTTGTCTCTCTTGTCTCTTTTCTCTTTTCTCTTCTCTCTTTTCTCTTTTCTCTTCTCTCTTCTCTTTGCTTTCTCTTCCTCTCTGTCTGTCTTTCACTCTCTTTCTCTTTCTCGTTCTCTTATCTTTCGCTTCTTTTTCATTTAATTTCCTTTTTTCCTCCTGTTCTTTTATCTTTCTTTGCGTTTTGGTTCTCTTTCTCTTGGTCTACTATTAGAATGTCTCTTTATGTATTTTTGCTTCTCTTCTTTCTCTTATCTCTTGACCTCTTTATCTTTCTATTTATCTATTTATCTATCTATCTATTTGTCTATCTATTTGTCTGTCTGTCTGTCTATCTATCTATCTAGTTATTCATATTTCTATTGTTTTATCTTTGTATCTCTCTATCCCTCTGTCTCTCCATCTCTCTATCTCTCCATCGCTCTATTCATCTATCTAATCTGTCGAATCTATTTGTTTATTTGTTTGTGTATGTTTGTATCTGCCTATCCAATTTATCTATCTAATCTACCTATCGAATCCCGTGCATGGTTTGTTAGCTTCTAGGATTTAAAACTACTTTCTGCCCTTGTACAAATCTCGATGTGTGGGGCACCAAGGAAGGGGCATCAGACATACGAATTGGAGTTAACGTTTTGAGGTAGGCATGTAGGTGTGTATCTATGTTTGTATGTATGTATGCATGTATGTATGTAGGTAGGTAGGTAGGTAGGTATGTAGGTATGTAGGTATGTCAATGTATGTATGTAAGGTAGGTATGTATCTATGCAATGTAATGTAAACCAATTCAATGTAATGTCATGCAATGTACGCATGCATATGTGCATGTGTCGTGTGTGCACCTGCATAACATATGCTTATGTGCGCATGGCAAAGCACACAAACAGCCAATCGGAAACATGGAACCGAGTAAACAGTTTGGATAGGAATGTTGAAATTGGCAACTCCTGAACGTGCGGGGGTTTCAACCTGGTTGAACTCCTCAAGCCGGTGTCAAGGAACATACTCTGCAGCTTCACACGAACCCACACACACACACACACACATGACACCACTTTGAAAGGAACCTCCCTTTGAGGAACCCCGCCTTGGGCTCCATTGACATTTGCAGGGGGTTATGGATGCTCTGACTGGACCTTGGAACAGTGCTGCGCCTGCCACGAAACTTGCACCGGACCTTGGAGCAGTGCTGCGCCTGCCGCGAAATCTGTACCTGGAAAGCGCTGCGCTGGCCATGCAAACGCAAACTACTGTTGCGAAAAGGGCGCGCGCCCGTGCCAATGGGCCTGGCTGCTCGAGGGTGCGCCGAACGCTCCGGGCCCGCTTCGCCATCAGGCTTACTTTCGAGCTTCCGAAGCACTAGGAAACCCGCAGGGCTGTACTATTGAGACATTTCTATTCCCCCTCCACACGCGCACGCAGTTGTTCATACGAGCTGATTCTTTTCTTGCCTGCTGCTAGAGAACTCGATTTCAATTTGCCGTCGGAAGTTCCTTTTAAACTTCCTTTAACAATCACAGACACCACAGACTCAGCAGTTTGTCCACCAACCGCCGGTGCGCGTTGTCTTGCAAAAATCAGGTGAAGAAACACGACAGCGACAAGTCTTGCTGGTTCGTCGTCAAGGGCCAGGTGTATGATGGCACCCCTTACCTGGAGGCCTGTGCGAGACATCACCGAACTTGCACCCCAGACTACTGTAAGCCCTCTAGCTGTTGGGTCCGAGGAGCATCCTGGGGGTGCCTCCTCCATGCTGCTGGCCGCTGGCATTGATGCCTCGGAGGATTTCGAGGCAGACACTTGGCGCGCAGAGAAGGGGCGCCACTGCGATGCGATGGGTGGATCTCGGCTAGAATAGTTGTCTGTCACATTGCGATGAGCGGCTAAGGTGCACTCCTCGCGAGCCTGGGACATGCTCAAAGACTATTCCATTGGACCTCTGAGGTCCACCGGCAATGGCTCTCGTGGCTCTTTCTTGGCTTTCTTGCCAGGCCGGAAGCTTATCGCGCCCCCTACCCCCGAAAGCAGAAGCGCCGTGCAGGCCTTTTCCCTTGGATGTCCCGCAGCGTGCTGGGCCTCTTCTCCGGATTTCTCTCTGGGTTTCTGCGACTCCTTGCGGCACCTGTGCGGGCTCTGGCAGGGCCAGTGGCTGGGATGCAGCTCTTTCCGAATCCCGCTTCCAGAGAATTTGTCGGCATGCCCGCAATGCAGGCTCCGTTTCTGGATCCTCGCAAGACTCAACAGCTGTGCCTCTCAGAGAAGATTGTGGTGGCTCGGCCTGCGGTGCTTTCGGTGCTTCCAGTGTTTTCGGCGTTGCTTTTGCGCGGAAGTTCTTATCGACCCGCCGACTTGTTTCGCCCAGGTCAACCATGACACTCGCATCTTCCGCTTTGCGCTGCCTTCTGCATCCATGCGGCTGGGCCTGCCCACAGGCTTGCATATGACGCTCAAGGCGGGGATCGATCAGAGAGACAGTTCTTGCCCCCGCCACTCACATGACGAGGCGAAGGTTGACGGCAAGCCAGCGATGCGGGCCTACACGCCCATGACAGATGACAGCACGCTGGGCCACGTGGACCTCCTGGTGATGCTTGTCAGCAAAGATGGCGTTTGATGAGGACACAGGTGCTTGTTCATGTCATGACCATGCCTTGCAAGAGTTGGACAGTGACCGGGGAGGAAGATCGTAGTTCAAGACTGGGATTGTGCATGGACCTAAGGAAGGTGTACTGCTTGTCGGAATCAACAGGTGCTTGATGAAGTCATGATCATGCCTGAAAGAGAACTGTCAAACACGGATTCCTAGTTGTAGGGGGATGTTCCCTCCAAAAGTGACATTTCGCCACACCCTATGAATCAACCAGGGGCTCACATGAACCGCGGCAGATATCGATCTCTGACCGGAATCCAGATCCCCGAGGAAGGTGTACTTCAAGGGCGTGCATCCCAACTTCCCGGAAGGCGGCAAGATGTCCCAACACTTGGACTCCATGATGACTGGCGGCATTGGAACGTGCCGGTCAGATCACGGCTAATCCGTGATGAAATCGGTGAGTTGGCAAAGCGATGTGTTTAATCAGCATTTGCAGCGTGTGGTCAAATTGGGCTTAAACGTGCTCACTAGTTCTGTCCTGTCCTTCAGGATAGCCACATTTTTGACAACGGCTCACGTCAGCTGATTGTAAAACTTGGAAACAGTTTCTGGTCAACGCAAACGGTTGTCATGGCAGGTTCAACAGTATTGCAATCTTTTCGATACGTTGTTCATGCTGAATATATCATTAGTCTAATAAGATGTCGTCAGAGGACATATCGTGTATTCAGAGTTCCGTTCCAATTTGCTTTGACTCAGGAAGATTGGAGACAGCATCGAGGTGAAGGGCCCCATCGGCGAATTTGTGTACAAAGGCTGGTCATGATGTGGCAGTGGTCAGACGAGACCGACGTTCGGAAGATTAACTAAATTTCCAACGGGCGTGCCCGTTGCAAGCTTTGTCGGGCACAGGCAAAGGCCACTACACTTTGCGCGGAAAGCCACATGGCTGCAGGGGAGGTGGCGAATATGGCTGGGCTATGCTAGTAGTTCTTGCCCTGCTTCCGAGATTGCCTTTGTGGCAAGTTGTGCCTACTTCCAGAAGAGGACGGTGAAAGTTGTTGAAACTGGAACAGGGGGCCGGTTTGGTTCTGCTGCTTGAAGATTGCTGCTTGGGGTGATGGTGAATCGGAGGTGCTGGCATGGGTGCCGGTGAGGGGGCTTTCGGAGGAGCTAGTGCAGGTGGACAACTGCAAACGGTCAAATGGACTGAAATTGCACTTCTTAACCTGAAAGCTCATTGTTATCCCGTACTTGTGTTTGATTCGCCAAGTTAGTAAGTTGCTGGACACCTAGGTGACAACCCACATGCAAGTCCCGCTGAGTGGGGTTAACCTTGTTATTGGGGGCTCCACTTTCTAACTTGGCCGAAAATCCAAGCAGAGATGAGGCCGCGCTTCTGCACGGAGATTTCCATGATGGCGGGCGGCACTGGGCTCACGCCGTGTTATCAGGCATGGCCAGAGTGTCGGATGCCGCACTTGTCCCACTCCCACCTCATGGGCATGGTATGGTATGGTATGGTGTGTGTGTGTGTGTTGGGTGCGCACGCGCGCGCGCGTGTGGGTGTGTGTGTGTGTGTGTGTGTGTGTGTGTGTGTGTGTGTGTGTGCGTGTGGGTGGGTGGGTTGGTGTGGGTGGGTGCGTGTGCGTGCGTGCGTGCGTGCGTGTGTGCCTCTGTGTGTGTGTGTGCGCCTGTGTTTGCGCGTTTGTGTGCGTGTGTGCGTGCGCTTGCGCGTGCGCGTGCGCGTGCGTGCGTGTGCGTGTGCGTGTGCGTGTGCGTGTGCGTGTGCGTGTGCGTGTGCGTGTGCGTGTGTGCGTGTGTGCGTGTGTGCGTGTGTGCGTGTGTGCGTGTGTGCGTGTGTGTGTGTGTGTGTGTGTGTGTGTGTGTGTGTGTGTGTGTGTGTGTGTGTGTGTGTGTGTGTGTGTGTGTGTGTGTGTGTGTGTGTGTGTGTTGTGTGTGTGTGTGTGTGTGTGTGTGTGTGTGTGTGTGTGTGTGTGTGTGTGTGTGTGTGTGTGTGTGTGTGTGTGTGTGTGTGTTTGCCACCAGCAGTCAAGTAGCAGATACAGCAAAGACAGGGTAGAGAATCACACCTCTCAAATGTGGGGCTTATGAAGCTTGGTAGGGGACAGTCTCGTCCATGCTCATGCTCTGATTTGCATGGGTTTCTGGAAGGGAAAAGTACTCGCCTAAGCTGGATTGGCGGAAGGACCTGTGTGGCACCAAAGGGTGACCGTTTTTGTGGAAGGCGCCGCTCGCACAAAGGGTCTTGAGTATGCCATGGCTGGAGTATGGCACCCGGCTATCAAGCACTCTTGGCATCATATTTGCTTGGGCTTGACAGGCCCTTGAGCAGGCTTGCGGATTGGCCCGCAGGTGCTCTCGGCGATCCTGCGAGACCCAAAGGACACAACCAAGGCCGGCCATGCCAGCTTTGAGCCAGGTTTCGGATGGTTTTGGCCAGGGCAGCTAGTGAGCGTCAGTCGGCCGGAGAGCCCTGGTGAGCGGCGTGAATGCAGAGATGGGACCAAGGTGCGACTCTTGTACGCCAACCGCACACCTGATGACATCCTGGCACGCGAGACTCTGGAGACTTGGCATGATTCCGCCCACCTACTTGGATGAGTTCGGTGAGTGCGTAGCAACAAGTTCAAGCGAGGAAGAACTCGCAGCGAAGCATCCGGACCGCTTCGGGCTGACTTTTACCGTGGACAAGGCGACTTGAAAGAAATGTCAGCAGACCAAAGTCGAGCGGAGCCAAGACTTGAGCATTGCGTCGTAAGCTTGCACTGCGATCAAGCCCAACACTCGCGATGCCACTGCCGAAAGGTGAGCGACCCCGCTGACGTGAATGTCAGCCCTTCTGCAGAGAAGGGGAGGCAGCGCCGTGACAGGCATTTTGAGACTTGAAGGCTCACCGGGGTCATTCCAGCAGCAGGAGACACTTGATTGACCAAGTGCTGCAGAAGCAATGTGCTGGTGAAACTCAACACTCCAGCGCCGTCGGGCATTCACAGGCTTTCCGCAATCTATGTGAAGCTCACCCCATTTGTTCGAACCCTAAACCCCTAAACCCTAAACCCTACACCCTAAACCCTAAACCCTAAACCCTAACAAACACTTGTATCAGTGAGTAACTTTGCGGTACCTGGGAAAGGATGCTGGCAAGGCTCCTGGAGCGATCACCAGCGACCATTCCGCGAAGTTTGCTCCACTATCCCTGTTGCCGAGGTTTTTCCATCAGGGCAACATCTCCAGATTCAGATGGCTATGAGTTCTATTGGGGAACCACTTCAAAAGTAGTTGGTGGACAAGAATCCTGACCTAAATGATGTCCACCAAAGGGTCCCCAATCAAAATTCGTACCCAGATATGGCTTCCCAGTGTTGACGCTGGTGGGCCTAGGCCTGTCGCCTGATGTTGCCTGGGACCTGTTCCCTCAGCCGGGGTTGGGCTATGTTCCTATCTCAACAAGAATTGCCTCAACTTGCGTCAGTCTATGGGAACGCATCAGATTTGCTTGGCTTGAATCCAGTGTCAGACTCGCCAACGCTTTGCGAAATTGGGTCAGCTGGGGGCGCCTGGGCTGAGGTGGAAGGGCTTCGTAGGCTTCGTTCATGAAGAGATGACGAGGGCCTCGCTCTTCGCTGCTGCCGAGAATGGCATTTGTGTCATGTGCGGGCCGCCGGTGATGCTTGACAAGGCGGGAGGTGGGAGTTGGCAGGCTGCAGGCCTCTATGACTCTGGAATCTTGCCACTGCCATAGGTGTCCTTTTTGGTTGATTTGACGGAAAAATAGGGGCCCTGGTTTACCTGGTGGTTCAATCATCTACTAGGGCCATCTATTTGCCCTAAAAGGACACCTATGTCTGGCCAGCTTGCGTGTCAACGTCTCAGGCGTGCCGCCCTGCGCTGAAGGCTATGGGCTTCAGCGACGAGAGCATCTTTTGCTTCTAGGCACGCCGGTTGCTATGTCGACTTAGGTAGGAACGTTGATGCAGTTTCTTGGGGTTCAGCATTGGGTTTGGTCATTTGCTCACATTCAGCGGTGGGGAAATTGGAGGAGGAAATAGATGGGCATCGGTAGTCACAGCTGTCAAACTTATGTCGAAAGCCTCGGCCAAAAGGAGATGTTATTTCCGTGTGGCTGTGTACCCCAAATGGAACCCTAGTAAGTGGAAACATGAACCAAAACCTGCGGTCCCCTGGTGGTTTAGTATTGATTCATACCCGTGTGAGCAATGAAAAGACCAGTGCCGAAATCTTGGGTCAACTGGTGGTTTCGCCATGTTGGTGTGTTGGAATAGGTGTTCCATTTTTCACACGCTTCACATGAAACTACAACACCTTGTTGGCCCTCGGAGCCGACTGCGAGTCGCGAGGCCGCCGCCGGCTCCGACCGGAGTCGCATTCTTTATCAGTCCTGCTCCCAAGGAGCGATGGACATTCGTACCCCAGGTGAACCTGAACCTGAGATCGAATTTGAACTCGAACCGAGTTTATCTGCTTAGATGCAACCTGGGCCACAGCCTACATCAAACCAAGGCAGCAAGGTACTGAAGAGCACGGAGCCTTGCTGCGCAATCGGCTCTTGCATGGAGTGCAGAGCTTTTCGCGCATATTATGCGCTTCGCGCGTCGCGCCGATCTGCGACAAGTTAAGAAAAGGGGATCCGTTGCTGGCTTGAGCATTCTATGCAGCAAGCCACCTCTGCCTTCGGATGAACCTTTCCTTGGCAGTAATTGCACGTGCCGTGTGCCGACATATCAAGGTGACATAGAGATTGCAACACGTGATGCTTTCCGCGGGGCTTTTGCACCGTGAACAAGGCATGTGCCCCACGCCCCCACACCCTCCACTGTGCCGGGACAATCACGGAACCTTGCTGTGTGATTTTGCGCCAACCCTTGTACGCAAGTTCGCTCGGTGTGCAATGTCGCCATTTGTTGAAGTAATTATGGTCTCCTCACGTGCCGACATTCATGAGGTTGTTTTGACGGCACAGAACTTTCAGGCTGTGGACACAAAGATTCAACATTGCAGTGAATCCAGTTTCATGGTCTCTTGCCATGCGCTGACGCTATGGCCTTTCTCAGTGCCTGCTGTTTGATGCCATTGAGCCACGGGATTCGGAAGCGGCCAGGAGAGATGCAAATGCTCCTTCAATCTCACAAGGCGTGCTTGCCACCAAGCAAGAGGAATCTAGCCGGAATGGGATTTGTGCAGCATGAAGATTGGGGCTCAGGCGGCTCTGAGCTGATGCTGTTCCACCCTCAGCTCGGGACACTTGAAACAAACCATGTAATGCGACTGAGGCCTTCCACAGTCGGCTGTGAACCGGCAGAGCCTTTCCTCTGTGGTCGATTGAACGGCAGACTCCCCCCACGACCTCGTGCCCAACTAGGGAGGACAGCAGAAGCAGATGTTGGCAGAGGCTATTGGGGCAGCGCAGCCGCAGCAACATGCCTGAAGCTGCTTATGGCTTATGGCCTGTGCGCTCGAGTGTTTGTATGTTTGCTTTTAGTTCTTGTGTTTCTTTGTTTGTTTGTTTGTTTGCTTGTGTGTGTGTGTGCTTGTGCTTGTGCTTGTGCTTGTGCTTGTGCTCGTGCTTGTGCTTGTGCTTGTGCTTGTGCTTGTGCTTGTGTTTGTGTTTGTGTTTGTGTGTTTGTGTGTGTGTGTGTCTGTGTCTGTGCCCGTGCCCGTGTCTGTGTCTGTGCCTGTGCCTGTGTTTGGTCTGTGTCTGTATCCGTGTCCGTGTCTGTGTCTGTGTCTGTGCCCGTGCCCGTGTCTGTGTCTGTGCCTGTGCCTGTGTTTGGTCTGTGTCTGTATCCGTGTCCGTGTCTGTGTCTGTGTCTGTGTCTGTGTCTGTGTCTATGTCTTGTCTGTGTCTGTGTCTGTGTCTGTGTCTGTGTCTGTGTCTGTGTTTTTGTCTGTGTCTGTGTCTGTGTCTGTGTCTGTGTCTGTGTGTGTGGGTGTGTGTGTGTGTGTGTGTGTGTGTGTGTGTGTGTGTGTGTGTTTGTGCGCGCTCGCTTGCGTATGCGTGTGTTTATGCCGGCGTGTTTGCATGGTGTTTTTGTGTTTGGGTGCGCAATTAGTCTTTTGGCCGGCCCTTTCTGTATTTGCTCGCCCGCCCGACTGCCTGCTTGCCTGGCTGTCTGCCGCCGCCGGAACCCCGGACAAGAGGGATGGCCAGTGCGAACGATCTGGCCAAGATCGGCCTTCCTTGGCTTTGCTCCTGATGCCACTTCTGGTTTTTCGACTGCCCTGCTTGGGAACTTTGCTGTTATTGACGTCTAACCCTTGGCTTATGAATAGAGGTTGACCACTTGCAAAATCACGGACGACGGCCAAAAACAACAGTTATGTTTGACTGGTAGTGAATACCATAGGCGTCCCCCCCTGGATATCTACTCTGGGCCCTTGGTTGACGCCTCAAAAGCGTGTCCACAGATTTGTATGCTCACATGACGTGCGTGTTTTCACGCCTCAAAACCATGTTTTGCACATATTTTGTCCAACGTTTCCACATGTTTTGGCAAAGTTTCCTCAGAGTTTCCACAAAGCTTCCTCACAGCTTTCAACAGAATGTCCACGAAGTTGCGGCAAAAACTCTGCAACGTGTCTACGCAATGTCCGCAAAGTTCGCAAAGTTATATAAGATCTTCAACAATCGCTGAGGCAATTGCACTGCTACTGTAGTTGCTTCTTGTACTCCTCCTAGCGGCTGTGAATCATAGTCATAGTTGCTTGATTTCGCAGACGCTATTGACCGCCACTCCCCTTGCTCTTCTAATTGTGTCGCTCGTCGTGCTCGTTCGTGTCAACTGCTATGAGTTCCCGACAAACTCTCTTTTTGACTCTTGTGCGATGTGTTGTTAGCATTTTGTGTTTGTATTGCGCGTCTCTTGAACGATTCATTTCATCATTTTACATTTCCTTGCCATATCCAAGTTTCAGCGGTTTTAGGCGTTTGATACTAGTTTTGAACGTGTTGCTGTGTCAAGTCTACAACAGCACTTCCCAATGGACTATCGCACAAAATGAGCTTCTATCCATTGCAATTCTGCTTTGTTGAGTTTGTTTTATGATGTTTTAATCTTAATAGCCCTTTGACACATTCATATGCGCGTTGTCTATTCTCATTGCTATACAAAATAAAATCCAGTAACTTATTTGTTTGGTTCATTGAACACCACACATATTCCTTGGGCGGTGAATCAAACCAATTTCTTTTAAGCCATTTCCGAACAGTTGTTGCCTATGTCACTTGACGGCTGCCGTCTTATTCTTCATCTTCTCACCGTTGGATTTCATTTTCAGAACCGAGTTTGCTTTATCTTCGTATTTGCGCTCGTTTTATTCATATGTAAATATAGCAAAGTCGTTCTTTGGGATATGATCTTCTGCCAACCATTGTCCATTTAGCAGTCCAACCCCCTTCTTTTCAACCCTCAGCTGGAAACCTATCTGTGACGGAGGTCGCTTTCCTTTCAAACTGGAGAATTCTTACATGTTCACGTCAACAAATCTGAGCCAAAGCAATTCATTTGTGAGTCGGAGAGCATGGATTGGGGCCAATTCCTTGCCGTTAAATATGTTGCCATTTCGTTGGTTGTGTTTCTGTGGGACAAAAAGAGCACAGTGAAACACACTCAGTTCCTGCTTCCTGGGGCCCTGCAAGGAACTTTGGACAAAGAGTTGCCAGCGGCTTGCCAGTCCCCTCTGCCCCCCATGCGTTTGTTCGGTGTGCATCTGTTCGTGTCTCTCCGCGCAGTTCTGGGCGTCCTTCGCAATTCAGTCTGCCGAATTTAGAGCGAGCTCACCTGGGGGTACAACGAGCTCACCATGATAAAGGTCCGTTACTTGGGGATCCCTCGATTCAGCTTTTGGTGGCTCCATGTTCCTGCGTCTTTTGTGGGTCGAAGCACACGCATGGAGTGCCGAGTGCCGAGTGCGAAGGTAAGCCTTCCGTCGACCATTGCGCTGGCAAGGGCCAGAAGGTGCAAAGCGTGTTCCATCCATGGGGCTTTGTTTCCATTGGGAAGCCCCCGATTTCCCAAGAAAAACCAAAACACATCCGAAAGGGGTACCCACAAAAAAGCCACTCCCTATCCAGGATTTTTGCTGCACTCTTCAGCATCCAACCTTTTGGTAGGCGCCGTGCCAGACGAAGTTCCGTAGCTTCTCGGCAAGACGAGCGGTGTGTTGGTATTTTGTGGAATGTTCCAGGCTGTGCTTGAATCAGGTAGCCCGTAGTTGGTGATTTGGATTGGTGGTTTGAGGACCTGACTTTTGTTTGGAAACCCCTCCTTAACCACCAAACTAGCAATCCAAACCACCAATTAGAGGGAAGCTGATTGAATGCAAGGCTAGCAAATGGGAGGATGGGCCATCCAATGGCAGAGAACGCCCCAGCCTCTTGGCAAGAATGAAGGATGTTTGGCGGACATGGGTCTTCCTCTTTTTTTTTCTTGGGGGGGGGGGGCGGGAATAGTGCAATGGTTGCTTCCTTTTGGTTTCCCTCAAAAGCACACACACACACACACAAAAGGGGTGGTATCACTAGAAAAGGGCAGACCCAAATGCGTGTTTTTCCATGTGCCGTGGCTTGCGCCTTAAGGCCCACCAACGCCAACAGTTCTACAAGCAGAGCCCTTCATCGAGCCAGACTCGGTGCCTGTGTCGCAGCCTGAGCGCATGGGCGCCTTTGCCGTGGTGACTCCTTACATGGTTCAGCACGTTGGGGCCAAAATGGGTTCCACTTTATTACTAGCCCAAGATGGGCTCAAACCCAAAGGTTCTGCTTTTGGGGGAAATCAACCACCCCGGGTTTGAGTCTACTCTGGGGTAGTGAAAAAGTGGAACCTCCCCCATGTTGGTTCCTTTAAGAGAGATGCGGAGGGTGTCGAGCGGCTCTCTGAGGGCGGACAAGAGTCCTCCCAGCCTCAACGAGGACGGTTGCCCCAACCAAAGCAAAGCGGAGGGCATGTGGTGAGTCAGGACTGGAGCGGCATGGCTGTCACGAATCGCGTGAAGCGATTGAAAGACATGGTCTTCATGAAGGACTTGCGCTTGAGAGGTAGAGATGGAGATGGAGTCAGATAGAACCTATCCGGAAGTTTGCCTAAGGAGGACCACGGTGGAAGCTGCCGACAGAAACACCCCCAAAGTGATCAATACCAACCACACACACACACGCACACAAGCACAACAATGCAAGGGATGCGTTAGGACCAGCCGCAAGATGTTGGGCAGGCAGATTTATACGTCCCAAATGCAAACCCGCAGCATTTTGCAAGCTCAAAGAGGCGCCTGCTAGAACAACAGTTCCATCCAATCGAGCCTGCGAGGCAACGAGTCGGGGCAAGCCTGCGAAGCCAAGCACCCGAAAACCAGCAGGATCAACAGACTTGCTTTTCACAGATGGCCATGGGTCATAACCTATGGGTCCATTTGGCAGATGAACACCCATGTACCACCTATTTTGATGTTCACCAGGGGTTTCCTGGGACAGCCAGATGACCGAGTTTTCAACTGCAGCTGGATTAGAGAACCTCGCCCAAGCTTGAACTCATATTGCTGGGGACGCTTGGGAGCAGCCCGAGTACTGCCTGTGGAGGATCAAAGGAAGCAGAGTCAAACACGCCAGCTGACTTTAATACAAACGCACACACACACACACACTCTCGGGGTTGGTGGATTTATTACCTGCAGGCTGTTCAATGTTCACAAGTCGAACCATTGTACGAGCAATAGCTGCCTGCTTGATCCCGGCTACAGGAGATGAAAGCGGCCATCACGTCCGGCGAGTTTGCAGAGGGCCCAAGTGGGTGTGGCTCAAAAAAAAAGGAGGTGCAAACCGCAGGTTTTGGTCCATGTTTCCACTTACCAGGGTAACCCATTTTCAGGGCTTCTTAAAAGATACATTTTGCAACCACTCGAAACATGTTGCTTTTTCCACACCAAATAAAGGGAAGCCACCATTCACAAGTCGCAATGATCAGGTGTATAATGCATCCGGATCCCTGATTCGGCTTCTACCTTGTTTAACTGGGTTCAAGTATAGCAAAGCCCGTGTACATACCATATTTGTAGAACCAGCCGTCAATCAGTCTCTGCTCAGATGGGTTTGTCTCTGAGTGAATGATTTGGGCACATCCGGCTCTCTGATTTGGGCACCGGTCTTTTGAGCCATAGCCAAGTGGCATTCGCCTCGCGCCGCATTCGGCTCGAGCCAAGCAGCCTCCGCCAAGCCAAGGCATTGCGCCTGAGCGGTGCTGAACGGCCTGGCCTGGTGGACTATGAGGTGAGAGGTGACAGATGTTTTCAGCGCGCAGCTGACAGATGTGCGGGCGTGGCTCAAAAAAAGTAAAGAGCTTTTCGTTACTGAGGTTTTAATCTTTGGTGCGAGTTAAACAACCATTCTGGCACATATCTCCTTTGTTTGCGCCAGAGCCTTTCTGAGTTCAGGGCCTGTGCAATGTCTTGGACGGATTTGCGGACAGGCCCTTCCCATCTGCCGCAAGCTTTTTCACTCGCTCAAATCCGATCCGGCGAGGCTAGAGAAGAAGGTTGGCCCAAGTGAAGATGAGGAGGCTTGGAAGGCCAGGCGATCTTTGTGCGGAGGTTTTTTTTTGTGGAGGTTTCTACCCGTATCTGGGTGTTGTTTTTCTTTCAAGACCCCAAAGAACTCGTGGTTTTCCTTTGCGTTCCCTGGAAAAAAAAGCCACCCAACAAAAGGCGGTCGCACCACTCCATGTTTCGTTGTTTCAGGCGCTGGAGGACCTGAAGGTGATTCGCTCCAGGCTCCAAGAGAAGCTTGTGGCCATGACCAAGGCCCGGCAGCTACGCGCGGCGAGTTTGAAGCGCGGGGCGTCGGCCTCGCGAGGTCCGCCAGAGTGACATGGAAGCCGCTGTTCAGGCCCAAGCGCGGTGATGTGCGTCGCTCATGTGGGTATGGGTCAAAATAGAACGATATGGCCCGCAGGTTTAGTTCCAATTACCAGGGTTCTGAGCACAGTTGGAATGAGAGGGCAAGGTAAGTACGGCCCTTAAACTCTCTCACGGAGCTTGTTTTGTTTTTAGCAAAGGCCGTTGTTCCAAAATGCATTTCTCATCAGTCATTTGGCGCACTTTGCAGGAGCCGGGCAATAAAGCAGATTCAGATGAGGATAGCAGTGAACTCTTAAATGTCATGTGCAAGTAATGCATCAAGCTTTGCCTGCTGCTTGACGTGGTCAACCGTTTGCTCAGTTTGTCAGGACTTGACGATCACCACAAAGGCGCGCTGAATGGCCATGTCGTTCAAGCTGCAACCCCTGCGATCTTTTTCCCTGCGGGCGGCATGGAATGTTTTTGCCCGTGCGCGCCACAAGCGCTCGCGAAGGTGGAGCCAAACACAGGCCGCGAATGTGCGGTGCACGCGTGTTCTCGTCAGAGCAGGCCCCGGTGTCTTGCGGCGTAGCGTGGCCAGGCGCGGCGGCAGCGCACGCATCATGAGACGAGATGCCCGCGCATTTTTTTTGGTAAACCGACACGTGCTCACATGTGTACTTACACAGCGCAAGCTCGTAAAAGCGAGTGGCGCACAGTGGTATGTGCTGCGCCAGCGCAGCGCTTGCTATTAGAGACGCGAGTTGCGAGGATGCGCCGAACACAAGGCGCTGTGTGTTCAGTGACTTGCAGGATGCAATCAAGATAGGACAGCGTACCACCCACTTGTTGCAGGCTCACGTGTTTTTAGGTTTTCGTCTTCGTGTTTTTGTAGTACCCTAGGTACTCCACCTTGTACTCGTTTGAAGTTTACCAAATGCAGATTGCAGTTTTGGTGGAACCCATCGCTTAGGGCCCACGCTGGTCTAATTTTGATACAACGGCTGTATTTCCCGCCTGCTTATATGCAGTGCATGGACTGAATTGATTGCAACTTGTGGCAACGCTTTTTTTGCGTACCATGTCAACGAGGCAATCAGGCCGGCAAACAGCAGATTCATGCTGCTTGCTCCTCAGCAACTTGTACGTGGCGCACATGGCTGGATTGTTCTATGTTGGTGTAAGGTACTTGCGAGCCGATGCAAAAGTTGACGTCGACACGGCGCTTCAGGAGTCGAGTCTCAATTCTCGAGCGGGCCGAAAGATCTCACGCGAGCCTTAGACGCGGCTTTCGGCATGTTTCGGCTTAGCTCTTCAGGAGTCCCAGGTGGAGCAGCCGCTGAGCCGTGACCTTTGGGAGCAGAATCCGAGCATGTGGGATTGTCTGGCAACTGGCGTGGCAAACCATGGTACCAAAAAGTTGGCGAAGTCAAGGCTTAGGGAGAAGTGTCGGTCTTGCGTGTCTTCTGGGCACCGAGAGGAATGAGGTTTCGCACGTTGCAAGCTGGAGATTGCAAAGATCAGAACTCTGACGCTTTACTGGCGCAGGAGCGTTTGGAGGGTCAGTCGGACGGCCATTGCCTGCCAGCGGAGCTGCAGGCCAGGGATCTTATCCATGAAGCTGAGGCAGTCGGATCGAGCGAGCGAGCGAGTTCTGAGGTGGAAGAGCAGGAGTCGATCCTTATGCAGGCCTGGTGCTAAGGAAAAAACATGGGTCCCGGGCTCTTGGATTTGGTTGTGGCTCAAAATTAAAGAGCTAGGGTTATGCAGGTTGTAGTCTTTGGTTCCATTTACCAAGGTGCCATTTTGGTACATGTTCTTGACCCACAGCCATTTGCCGAACCGAAGCGTTGGACAATGAAGACCGAAAATCCAGGAGAAGGGCAAGTGAAAGGTGCAGAGAATTCCCCCATTTTGTGCAAACCACGGAAGCAGCTTGCAAAGACAGCTGCAGGGGTCGCAGAGCCACAAGCAAATAGCTGAGCAGAACCGAGTAACGCCGTAACTGCACAGCCGCCCTGGGCAACGGCAACCAGTTTTTTTTGGTTATTATATTTGTTGCTTTTATCAACATTGTGTTTGGACCACATCGGCTGGATGTGCTGAACATATTGGCTGAAAGGCCAAGTGCATTCGATCATGCAATCAATCATGCATTCCAGATTAGTCAGAAGGATCAGCATCCGATGTTCGAGACAAGGCCTGTTTGATGTGTTGCGACGCATCGATGTCATAATGTAGAAATCACATTGTTGTTTCGAGCTGCAGACTGTCCAAGTGGCTATGTGCGACCTGTTTGCTGCTACACCAAGCCCTTACAATGACAAAGAAAACCCCGGGCAAGGAGCCTACTTACAGGGTTTTGGGGCATGATGCTTTGCCACAGGCTGGAAATTGTTGCGATGACTTTGCTCTGGCTTGTTTCAGTTCCAGTTGCTGCAGGCCAAATACGAGCTGGCAAAAGCGCGAGCAAAGCGAGGGCACGTGCTTCAAAGGATGTCCGAGGCGCTTTGACCGTTGGATCAGCGCTCGTGAAGCAGCGGATTGTTGTTCACTGGGTTGAGAATTGCTTGTTTGTTGGCTTGCTTTGTCCATGTTTGAGTCTTTTTGCCTGGGGTTCGTCCTGGCTGAAAACGACGTGCTGGTATTTGCGGCTTTTGGCGCGTGGCTTTTCACCTAGAGCCTACGCCAAGCCAGCCTTAGACCCACCCTGAAAGCACCCTAAGCCAACCCTGAACCAACCCTGAACCAACCCTGAACCAACACTAAGCCCACCCCTTGACCAACCCTAGTCTTTCTTAAACTATCCACCCGAAATCCAGCCTGAACCCACGTCACGGCCACCCTATATCACAGCCAGCTTGAACCAACCCTCAAGCCATCCTGCGCATCCACTGAAGTCCTCCCAGTCTTCATGAATTGTCACTTCCAAGGACCCCCGCGCCTAGAGCCAAAAAACAAAAGCACCCGCTTTGAGTAAGCAAGATTGTCAAAGCATGCTCCTCCTCAGAGCCATCCAGGGATCATGCCTCAGGGCCACACAGGACGAGGCAACACACATGGAAGCAATGCAACTTTACGCCCAGAATAAAGACTGTCAGGTTCACTTTGCTTGCCCCCCTGAGCGGCAGAAGTTGTGCTGCCTTTGCTCCATCTCATTTGCATGACTGCAATCCGTGGTCGGGAGGCTGCGCACGTCGCAGCACATATGGGCGCCTTAGATGGGTCCTGCGAATAGGTTTGAGCCGAGCTGCATTGCTCACTTCTGGCGGTTTATTCCTCCGCGTTATCTCAGCGTCATTTCGCCCAGTGCGCTCCATTCATTGTCGAATCTGCACAGTCAAAACATGCAGGTTCGACATGTATTCGGCCGTCATGGGCATTCATCAATGCACAAACTGCTGGTTAGCACCAACCACAGTGACAAGCACCACTACTGCTGCCGCTGCTACTGCTGCTGCTACTGCTGCTGCTGCTACTGCTACTGCTTCCTCCTACAGCTGCTGCTACTGCGACTGCTACTGCTCCTGCTGCCGCTACTCCTCCTACTATTGCTGGTCTTTCTCCTGCTGCTGCTGTTGCTGCTGCTGCTCCTCCTGCTGCTGCTGCTGCTTCCGCGAATGACCCAGGAACATAGGAGTTTTGACAACTGTTCATGTCTGCTCATGTCGCTATCTCGATGATCATCTATCTTCCAACAAACTTCCTCCATCTCCAGGCATTGCTTTCTAAGCACCCCCTTTGACCTTTGGTGTCAAACATGTTTGCACGGCCGGCTGTCGATGGGCTTGGAGTCGAACCAGGCCACGGGAGGTTGCGCCGAGCTCTTCCGCAGGATTCTCAAGGGAAGGCTGTGCCTCGCCATACGTCAGCCTTGGAGTTGCCGAGGCTTGGACCGGGAAATCTCGGGTCGCCGGAATCTCGTGCTGCTCGCAAACGTGGACCTGATCTTGGAGAAGGTCCGGCATTCCTCGCCCAATTTTCTGAAAGAAGGGGGGAGTTGGCTGCAGGTGGCTCTCCATTTGGAGAAGTCCCTGCAACAAGCGAGCATTTCAGAATGGGATGCTTCAGGCGCCTATCTTGCTCTCAACTGCCTCCTTTTGAAATCCAAGGGAGCTGCTTGCTCACCGTGGATTTCGTCAAATGCCCAAATTGTACAGGACGCCACTTGAAGGAGCTGGTGTCTGAGTTCTCCTGGCTGGAGAACCAGGCGTCTTCGACTCGGGGTGAGCTGTAGTATGCTGAATAGACTCCAGGTGGCTCCTTACAAGAAGTACTTGCACCGAGATCCGGAGGCCTGAGCAGCGGGCAGAAAAAGCATCACTTCATGTCCCTTTTGGTTGATTTGGTTGAAACATAGAGGGCGATTCCTGGTTTATCTGGTGGTTCCATCAACTACCAGGGAAACCCATCTATTTTCAACCAAAAAGGACGCCTATGTTTCAGCAACTGAAAACATGGGAAACCATTGTTTGTTCGTGTTTACAGTGGAATCACATCATTCCCCAAACAGTGTGTCTACACTAAGGGGTTCTTACGGTAAGAGAAAAGGCCTTGGTGCCAGAGTGAGGTGCCCGCTCTGTCCGCGAGCGTTTTGCGTGGTATTTACCGCAGATTCGTGCTCTTGCTTGATGTCGAAGTGCGTTTCGACTGCGCAGGCTCGCACAAAGTGAGGTGTCGACTTCTGTCCGCGAGCGTTTTGCGTGGTATGTACCGCAGATTCGTGCTCTTGCTTGATGTCGAAGTGCGTTTCGACTGCGCAGGCTCGCACAAAGTGAGGTGTCGACTTCTGTCCGCGAGCGTTTTGCGTGGTATGTACCGCAGATTCGTGCTCTTGCTTGATGTCGAAGTGCGTTTCGACTGCGCAGGCTCGCACAAAGTGAGGTGTCGACTTCTGTCCGCGAGCGTTTTGCGTGGTATGTACCGCAGATTCGTGCTTTTGCTTGATGTTGAAATGTGTTTCGACTGCGCAGGCTCGCAGAAAGTGAGGTGTCGACTTCTGTCCGCGAGCGTTTTGCGTGGTATTTACCGCAGATTCTTGCTTTTGCTTGATGTTGAAGTGCGTTTCGATTGCGCAGGCTCGCACAAACTCGATTTCTTTGCTTTTTTGGCAGCTCCAGGGACCGTGGGGGTTTTGTCTCGTCCGGCGGCACGGGTTTCCGGCGAAAGGTCCCGGGCTCGATTCCCGCCCTGTCCTGCGATTCTGCCGTCTCACCGATATGTGCTGCTCATGGAAGAAAAAACGAGCATGCCTGCTGACCATGCCTGTGCGCCTTTTTTCTTCTTGGTGCTGCATGTGTCTCTACTCCCACACACGTGTCCTCGTCTTTGTGAGTGTGCGCGCAAATACCGCAAAATGATGTTGCAGCTTCCTGACAACAACCGCCGTTTTGCGGCGCTGCCCGCACAATACTCTGCAGCGTGTGACCGCCGCCTATCACTGTTTAGGGGTCTCGTGCCGGGGTAATTCCAGGGTTTTTTAGGTGGTGCGAAATGGATTTGGCCCATCCACATGGGCAAAAAGGCGCTTTGATCTCAGGATGTGGCGGTGAGAGGCCTGGACCGCGACGAAGTGCAGCTCCTGGAGCGGAAAGTGGCCGGATCCCGAGGTGGAGGGCGCAGGAGTCACTTGAGCTAACCCCCGCGGTGATTGGAGGGTAAGGGACGAGCCCCTTGCGGGTGTGCATCACTCCTTGGCAATTGTTTCTTTGCACGGTTCTGGGTACCTGGACAATTTCAAACCAACAAAAGCAGGGAGCTCACCCCATAATTTCTGGGGCACAAACCTGTCTTGGATTGTAGTTTCAGGGTCCAGGCGGACCATTTAATACCGATGGGTTTTGAGTCTGACTAACATGACACTCTGGAGCCCATTTGCTGCTCCCTTCTGAGGCGCGAATTGCGGGCCGAGCAGGGCTCCATGTGGATCAGATTGACCGGGGTTCGGGCCTTACATGGGTGGCTCGTCTTGTTTTGGAATCGGACCGCCCACCACCCCCAGAACGGTTTCCTTTGGGTTGTGCCGAAAAGAAAGCAACAACAACGCCCAAACCGGGTATCAACAAAAAGACGAGCTCCCGTCTCATGGTGCTTACGGGAAAAGTCTCTTAGGCCAAAGCTTCCTCTGGAAGAACCTGCGAATTGCTGAGCACTCGCACTCGTGCAAGCATGACGTTTACATACTGTGGATGGTTGCGAAAGCCGTTCTCACCACCTAAGAAATCATGGTTGAAACCATGCCGCTTGTTGGTATTTGCAGGGATTCGAACCATTCCAGGGTTTCTCAGGTGGTGCGAATGGATTTCGTCCGCAGTATCCCTTGGGCCCAGGGTGTCTCTGCGAACCTCCTTGCGGAAAATCCGGCGTGGCCTCATGTTTCAGGCCGGCCAAACCTGGGTATGGGTCAAAATTAAACCACCAGGATATGGACCGCAGGCTTTAGTCCATGTTTCCATTTACCAGGGCAGCCCATTTTGGGGTTACCCTCTTTTTTGACAACCACAGCCACCTGTGAGTCACCTGCGTGTAGGTTTCCTCGTGTGCCTTGCCAGGTGAATGGCGTGCGTCTGCTCTACCAGGCGCTGAGTGCTGTGCATGCGCCAGTTGAATGGTTGTGCTGCAGGACCTCCAGCATGCAATCAGGCTTGTCCTCAAGGACAGATTGCGTCGCTTTTGGAGCCGCTCCCCCTTGGAGCGTCGCCATCTTGTTTCTGGACCGGGAGGTCTTGTTCCTGAACCACGCCTTGCAGAAGCGCGAAGCCAATGTGTGTCGACGTGCAGTCAAGGACACTGCCGTGCCGGGAAGACAAGTTGTGGAACTTTTGCAGACTGTATGCTTTCTGTGACACTGTGACAGATGCCTTGTAGGACCTCCTCGTTCTGGTGCCTTTCCTGGTGCTGCTTCTTATTCCGCTCTCCCCTCCTGGACACATGCTAGTTTTCTCTTTGATTCTCAAGGCGGGCAACAAGACTGGGCCACGAGTTCCGGGTTCGATTGTGGCTCGCTGGTTCGCTAGGTCTACCCGGACTTTGTTCCCACCCCGTTCACCGAGCATCGCCAAAATGCAAGATGCTAAGATCGACAGTGAGGGCCTTGTTGCGGCTCCCGATGTGCCAGGTGATGCGCATCTACAATGAAATCAAGCCGGTCAGTGAGACAAGGTCTTGATTGTAGGAATCAACCACATTTTCAAAATAGAGTCGCTCAGGGCGAATCAACAGGGTCCTGGAATCCTTGTACAGGTGCGTGGCCAGGGCATCCTTTTTTCGTGCACTTGGTCAGGCACAGTCGATGTCCTGCTCTCTTTCCAGCCAGCGATTACAGGGTACCTGTAGGGGTGTCTTTTTTTAGGGGACCCTCCAAAATGGTGATTAGGTACTCAGTTTATGTTACGCAGCAGCTTTGGTGGCTTGGGACGAGCCCGCAAACTCTGCGCTCGTAGGGCAAAACCTCGCTTGCCATTGAAAGATCGGCTAAGCGCAATTCACTTAAAACTGTAGATCGCTGCCAAGAGCCCTGGCTGGAGTGTCTCTTGGTGACATACGGTCGCACGGCACCAAGTTGGCAAGCACGTGGGAGGTACACCTTGCAGACCATTTTAGGTGTCAAGCATAGGCAGCAAGCATGAAAATGAGGACCTCGCTGGTCAGCTTTCAAATACAAGGTACAGGGGTTTGATGCCAGTCAGGTAGTGTGTTTCCAGATGTTTGCAGTCGTCTATCATGCACCATAAATATCGAAGCTGGCTACTTGGCTGGCATTTCGTGGTACTTGGCCACATCGACACTCTTTTGATCCCCGCGCCCCTCACCATGCCGTTCGGCATCAACCTTTTTGGCAAGGGACACACGCAAGAAGCACAGCAGGACAGGCTTTTCGAATTCGCGTCTGCATCTGCATCTGCATCTGCATCTACATCTGCTTGCGGATTGAGGGAAGCTGGAGCAACGCCAGGACTCGGCAAAGGAGATGGTCCGAGAATGGCAACGCAACCTTCGCTCGGAAGCACGAGGAGTGGACAGGAGCATCAGGACTGTGACGCAGCCTTCCTTGGAGCGGATAACCGACTGGACATGTTCCGCCGCACGAGGCAAAGGTTTGAGGGCCTTCACCTTGGGCTCTGGGTTGTGCAAGTTGAACGGTGCCAGGAAAATCGAGCAAGAAGAGGACAAGATAAGGAAAGAGGTCAAGGCCAGCTGCTTCACACAAGTGAAGAATCCGAGTCGTCATCGTGTTTCTGAGGACATGGCCGCCAAGGGAGGCGACCCAAAGAGCATCCACATGCTCGCAAAGTCGCTGGTGAGATCTGGAAAAGCCAAGGCTGGAATTTGTGCACGTGCTCATAAGGGTGCCATAAGGGTGTCCCCAGTTGCCCAGTGGTGCTCGTTTTTCTATTTGTGGGAAGGGTTGTCCTTTACAGTCAACCAATCAAGAAAGGATGCCCCTTTTTTCCCATGGTTACTGGGCATCTGAGTGTCTATCAAAAATCCAGGCAGGTGGTTTGCTTTTGGTTTCCCTTCAAAACCCCATCCCCATTCAAAAAGGAGTCCCCCAATTTTGAAAGATGCTCAGACGCAAATGCAACTGCCTGGCAAGGCTCGTTTGTACACCTCCAGATCCATCATGCAATCAGCTCTGGTCTCAGACTCCTGACTTCACGGAAGAGAAGCAGTCTCCTGAGGCTGTGTCGGAGCTTGAAACCACCGCCGCCACCATGCGCTTGTCTGACTCCATGAGCAAATCCGCAGAGGTCCGTTGCTCGATCTGTGGAGGAGTCTTTTCCCTCATGTGGCTGTATTTGTCAAAACCGTTCTGGGATCCCATTTTGGTTGGGATTGGTGCACCACCCAAATTTTAGCACCTATTTTTAGTGGTTGGATTGAATCGGATGTTCACTGGGGGCTAGCCGATTTGGCTTTGGATTCTGAGCCACAGCCTCATGGAGACTGAGCTGGGTGTGGCTCAAAATTAAGCGATCGGAGGGGCAAACCGCAGGTTTTTTTTTCCATGTCTCCACTTACCGATCGGGCCACCCATTTTGGGATTTTTTTCCGGTTCTTTGGAGCAGCCAGGTGATGAAGCAGATCAACTCCTTGTCCAAGATCCCCGAGATGGAGGTGGCCGCCGGTGGTTCAAACGTTGAGTCTCCGATGTCCGTCGAAATCGAACCATGGACCGCAGGTTTTAGTCCATGTGTCCATTTACCAAGGGCATGTCCTTTTGATTGGTGAGCCTGGTTAAAACATGGATGGGTTCCACTGGTTTAGATGAGTTTTGTTCCACTTACCAGGGAAACCCATCTATTTTCTCAAAAAGCCACCTATGGGCAAAGGCTGGTGGGTGAGAAGTCTCATCTGCACAGGAGTCCATCTCCACCATGCGGCGGGAGATGATGCGCGCTGGCCTGATAGAGGAGCTGATGGATGAAGGAATGGAAGCGATGGTCTGGCGCTCGAGCGAGGGAATTTTCAGCGGCCGGATCGATCCTGTGTCGCATAAGGATGGGCCGGAGATGGAGGAGGAGGCAACGTGGATGGCCTTGAGTGTCATGAACTGGCCAGAGCTTGCACATGTCTTTGCAAGAGTTGCTGGCGACGGCTAGGCTGAAGCAGAAGTTGACAAAGTGCTGGACCGGGTTAGCTGGGTTAACTGGGTTAACTAGGCGAACGGGCTTGACGGGCTTGACAGTCAGAACATACTGTGGATGGGCGAAATCCATTTTGCACCACCGAAGAAACCCTGGTTGAAGCCCAAACGTTTGTTGGTATATTACCAGGGATTCGAATCATTCCAGGGTTTCTGGACGGTGGTGCGAAATGGTCTTCATCCATCGACAGCAGGGGGCTGGAAGCTGGGAGACGACATCGACTGACGCTTTTCATGCATAGGATGACCTGGCCATTGACGCCTCGCTGCGAATGGAAATCTCCCGGCCCCAGGTGCATGGTGATTGCTTTGGCAGCTTCACACCGTTCCTTAAGGCGACCAATGGCCCCCCCTCGCCCAAAAAAACGAAAAGACAAGTACCCTCCAGCAAGGTGAGTTAGATGCTGGTCTTTGGCCACTGCCTCTATGAGCTTGCATTTGGCAGGCTGTGTCTGCTGGAGGGTATGCTGAACCAGCCGCCGCAGTTGGGTGCAGCGCTTGGTGCGTTGCTCCTTTGCAACGGTTGGCTTCTCCATCTAAGCATAGAAGTGCTTTTTGGTTGTTTTGCTAGAAAAATAGATGGCCCTGGTTTACCCTGATGGTTTAATCATCTACCAGGGCCATCTATTTCCCCTACAAGGACACCTCTGCCTCTAAGTCGTGTTCCTTAGGCAGCGGCAAGCACAAGCTGTGGCGTCAACGGGCTAGGCATGCACATTGGTGCATATGCCTCAAACGAGCTCCACTGCCAGTCAAACTGAGCACTGGACATGTGAGCCGCGAAGGCGGTCGTCACCTAATCAGCTCAGCGCAGAAGCCTACAGATACATGAAGCGCACATTCAATCCTATGGTTTAGGGCCCTTAGGGGCCTCCCAATCCCATAGGCCTAATAGCGAAGAAGAAGCCGAACAAGGGGCTGATAGTTCCTTCCTTGGGGGTCCGAAGGTCCCCTCTTTGGGCTGACAACCATGGGATTCAACCTGCCAAGCATTTGACTTGAACCGACTTGCATTTCAAGCAGTGTACAGGCAGGGGTGGCTGATTGCTACGCTCCAAAAAGAAGGTACAACTCAAAGCTGAGATGCGCACTGTCTTCCAAAGATGAGTTGCGGATTGCTCAAGGTAGCTTCATGCCTTGTGCAGCCTTGTGCACTCTGTTCGGGCTCCAGCTGCTGTCATCCCGTGTCGTGGAAGAGACGTGCTGACAGACGCTTCATAGCCATGACACATCCCATACCACTATCTCGTTTGTGCACACCTCTCAACGACTGGCAGCACGTCAAGGCAAAGCGCTCAAGGTAGGCAAACTTCACACATCTCGACTGAGAATCTCCACGTCAGCCACGTGCAGTCTCTGTTGTCATGATGAATGCATGGATATTGGCCACTTTGTTGGGAGCCTTGCGCAGAGCAGGTTGCGTGGCGTAAAGAGAAAACAAGACAGCCACATTGCCGTGGTTTAGTGCTTGCACTCTGTGTGTGCCTGTTTTGATACAGGGGGGTTGATTGAATTGGTCCGTGATACATGGGATGACCATTGGTTGGAAAACCATTATAAAAATTGATATTTCCCCAATGGGGCAAGTTACCCATGGTCAACACTGGAAACTCACGGACATTTTTCATCAACCACGACAACGTGTTCCATACCCGCGTTCCCTGCTGAGCAGGTGGCAGTTGGTCAAAAATAGGTGCCCAACATGGAACCCGGGTAAACGGAACCAAGGGCCAAAGGCTGCGATTTTCTATTGGCGAGATATTTGACCCATGCCCAGGTGGCCATGGGTCAAAATCCAAATCGTACCCCCAGTGAACATCCGATTCAATCCAACCACTAAAATAGGTTCTAAAATTTGGGTGGTGAATTCGCCTACCCAACCAAACATCCCAATCCCCACTAAAATAGGAAGCCTACAATTTGGGTGGTGAATTCACCTACCCAACCAAACATCCCAATCCCCACTAAAATTGGTTCTAAAAATTGGGTGGTGAATTCACCTACCCCAAAATGGGATCCCAAAACGGTTTTGAGCAAAAAACAGAACCCCGGTAACTGGAACCAAGGACTAAAAGCTGCGATTTTCTGTTGGCGGATTTTTTGACCCATACCCTCACCCACAATCAATACCCGGGTAGATGAAGGTTAGCAAGGGACAATCCCAGCCGGAATTAGTTGCGGCCGCCTTCTTAATTCTTCGCATGGTTCTGGGTAGACCATTTCTGTTGTTGTGGTTGTGGTTGTGGTTGTGGTTGTGGTTGTGGTTGTGGTTGTGGTTGTGGTTGTGGTTGTGGTTGTTGTGGTTGTGGTTGTGGTTGTGGTTGTGGTTGTTGTTGTTGTTGTTGTTGTTGTTGTTGTTGTTGTTGTTGTTGTTGTTGTTGTTGTTGTTGTTGTTGTTGTTGTTGTTGGTGGTGGTGGTGGTGGTGGTGGTGGTGGTGGTGGTGGTGGTTGTGGTGGGTTCTGATTGTGACTCAGGTGGACTGGCGATGCCTCCGGTGACCTCAGTGCAGCTCGTTGCCTTCGCAGGTGACCAGGTGAACTACGACGAGTCGGCCCCGCACTTCCGCTGGTGTGGCCACGTGGGTCTCCGCTTTCAGGAGATGGAGGCAAGAGATTCTGTTTTTTTTTTGAGAGTTGAATGACTTTTGTTCAGCTACCCCTAATTCTAATTGGTGGTTTGGATTGGTGGCTTGGGGATTTGAACTCCTGAATCTTGTGGAGGGTAAATGGGAAGCCGCCAATGCAAGCCACCAAACCGATGTCTTGTGTGTCGCAATATTAAACTTGCATACATAGGTGTCCTCTTGGTTGATCTAGTTGAAAAATACAGGGCGATCCCTGGTTTACCTGGTGGTTCAATCAACTACCAGGGCCATCTATTTTCCCAAACAGGACACGTATGCTTGCAGAGGTCCCATAGGGCATCCCAAACATCGGCCTGCGAAGGGCGCTTTGTTCGGCTTTACCCCAGACACCGAGCTGGTCCACGATACGCATGCGCTCATCACGACCTTGCTGGAGGGCAATCGCTTCCAGGGGAGAGTTTCATGCCGAACAGAACCATTTTCTGGCCCCTAAGTGTTTTTTTCTTCTTCGCGTTGCCGAGCTTGTGTTGTGAGTGGATGACAAGTTGTGGCTTGCAAGGTGGGAGATGACTTGGGAGAGTTCGAGGATGCCGCGCTATCTCCTTATGGGCAAGTCTTTGTATTCTGGAACATTCCTGAGGATAGGTGCCATGAAAAGGACTGCGGCTTGTCACAGGTGCAGTCTGATGTGGTTAGCTCGGTGAAGTTTTATGCCTTTCCACCTGAAGCCCCACGGAAGTACAGAGGATCCTCGTACTCCGCCTGTGATGCATCTTGGGGCGAGAGCTGCTTTAATTGCGCGACGTATCCCAAATCTTTAGGGCTTCCGATTCCTGACGACACTGGGATGCTGGAAGTTTATCTGCAGAAGCTGGCTGAAGAGCCCGGCGCAGTTTGCAGGTGCTACAAGTCGGGCAAGTGGCTTCACAGCTCGAAGTGCAAAGATAGCCCGAGCTTCGCAGCCCTGGAGGCTTGCAGCTTTGAGCAGCCAGAGCCGCTGGACCTCTGAGAAGCCTTGTACAGCTCCGGCACAAGGATGCCAAATGCCAAGCTGTGTACAGCATTTAAGAAAGTCTTAGGCGCTTGCCAAACTTGGGCGGATGCTGAGCTGGAATGTTGCGGGAAGACAAGCTTGGACCACGCTTGCCTGATTTGCCATGGCGTTCTCGCTTCTTTGTGCGTTGCTGGCTTCGGCTTCGGCTTTGCAGTGGGCTGAGTTTGCCGCAAGGTATGGTGCGTTGATAAATACCTCACACCAACTCCACGCAACAAGCAAACAAAAAAACCCGGAAACTCGGATCTTTCAACATGGCCCTCGGAAAAGCAAAAGAGGAACAAGAAGCAAAAAGCACGGAGACTCACTGGGACCAAAACAAGTTCTGACCACTCCCTCGGGCCCCGAATTTTTGAGCCATGACGTGGCCTCCCTCGGGCCCCTATGGAGGACCGGATGCGCAAGCGAGGCGATGCCATGGATGATTGAAATGGAATGACTCCAGGAATTGGTGCTGTTAAAGGACCGTCCTTGAAGTGGGATGGTTTCTAGGGGTCATTCCATTTCTCATTCCCTACCTATCGCACCAGCACGTTTTTTTTTTTCTTTTTTCTGCGCATGTTTTTTAGGAGCTGGCAAGGGCTCCAAGGGCAAATGGTCCAAAGGCCCGGTGTCGTTTCGTTTACGACGCGACACACCGGCACATATATACACGTACCCAAACATACACACATTGCACATCATGTATACATGCAAGTCGCATATGGACATATTATTTGCACATACACGCACATTATACACCCGTGCATACGCACATGTGCACGTACAAACATGCACAAACCCAGCCACACACACACATACGATATACATATGTGTATATATATATATAATACACATAATAGTGAGCTCAGATTTACATATGTACACAACGATGCACAGCACACACACACACACACATTTGCGTACATGCGTTTCTTTGCCCGCGGCATTGGTGGGAGGAAGATTGCAATGCTGAGGAATTCCTAGTCGTTCTGATTCTCAAGGTGTTTAAGGCGTTCCAGGCGTTTTGCGTATTGTTGCTTTTTCTTTGCGGGCGTTTGCCCCTTTTTTGCGGGCGTTTTGCGGTAGTTTGCGGGCGTTTCCTCTTTCAAGGCGTTTGCGGTAATTGTAAACGCTTGGCGATGCCCGCCTCAGCCAGTCCGCTCTTGTCTGGCTTTGAGGTATACACTGTGCTTTAGTTTGCTTCGAAGTCTTGTGTTTATTAGACTGAGTGAGTCGGCAAGGTAGAGGGAGTGCATGTCTGCGTGTTTTCACATGGCTTCAAGGGCCAGAACGAGAGCTAGAGAGCTACAGAATGGCAGTGAGCTTGGGCCAAGCGAAGGTCAACTGTCTCGGGAACTTGACTGGTTTGTTGGGGGGGAATCTTGCCGGTTTCTGGAAGGATTTGAGAAGAGATTTGACAGGGATTTGGCCGAATTTGGGCCAACTTTGAGAGGGGGAATTTGACTGGCGTCTAGCCGGATTTGGGCAGACTATAGAGGGGATTTGACCGGTCTAGATGGGAAGTTGGCCGGTTTCTAGGGGCGATTTCTTGGCCGGTTTCTGCGTTTTCTAGAGGGGATTTCACTACTTTCTAGAGGGGAACTTGAGGGGGATTTGACCAAGCGCAGTTACGCGGAGACTACTACCTACCTACCCCTACCTATCTGCCTACTTTCCTTCCTACCCACTTAAACAAATCACACAGCGCAAGCAACTAATAGTTGCAAGCGTTTACAAATGAAACATGCACATACAGGGGCACTCTCACATGCGCACACACCCACAGACACAAATGCACAAAAATACTGGCGCATCCGCACGCATTCTCGCGCGAGCATACATGCATAGATCCTTAAACAAGCCACACGCATGCACGCACGCAAGCGGGCGTACAGACTTCAGGAAGACGAAAGTTTTGCCCTTTCAGAATTGTGTGGCGAAACAGGCCAGCTGGTCAACTTGGTCAGATTCATGGCTGCATTTTGCGTGGCAGTCACGCCGTGGTCAGCTTTCACCTTGTTTTGAAGTAATACTGCAAGTGCGAACAAAGACCGTCCAGGTGTGCTCTTTCACTTGAAGGATTCTAGCGGGCAAGGGCGTGGAGACTTGTTGCGGAGACTCAAGAGGACAAACCTTTATCTGGTAGTGTATGGATATACCGATACAGATACAGATGCAGACGCAGATACAGATAGAGATAGAGATACAGATACAGATACAGATTCATTCATTCATTCATTCATTCATTCATTTATTCATTCGTTCATTCATTCATTCATTCATTCATTCATTCATTCATTCATTCATTCATTTATTCAGCCAGTCAGTCAGTCATTTATTCATTCATTCATTCCTTCCTTCGCTCGTTCGTTCGTTCGTTCGTTCATTCATTCATTCATTCATTCATTCATTCATTCATTCATTCATTCATTCATTCGTTTATTCATTCATTCATTCATTCATTCATTCATTCATTCATTCAGTGATTCAGTGATCCAGTGGGTTATTCATGTATTCATTCATTCTTGCATTCCTTCATTTTTCTTTTATTCTTTGATTCTTTCATTCTTTCATTCATTCGTTCTTTCATTCACTCAGTCTTTCATTTTTTCATTATTTGATTCTTTCTGTCATGCATTCTTTCGTTCTTTCATTATTTTATTCATTCGTTCTTGCATTCTTCCATTCTTCAATTCTTTCATTTTTTTCATTGTTTCATTCTTTCATTCTTTCATTCTTTCATTCAGTCATTCATTCATTCATTCGTTCGTTCGTTCATTCAGTCATTCATTCATTCATTCTTTCTTTCATTCTTTCATTCATCCATTCATTCATATATTCATTCGTTCGTTCGTTCATTCATTCATTCTTGAATTCATTCATTCATTCGTTCATTCTTCTTTCTTTTTTTCTTTTATTCATTCATTCATTCATTCATTCATTCATTCATTCATTCATTCATTCATTCATTCATTCATTCATTCATTCTTGCATCTTCCATTTCTTCACTCATTCACTCATTCATTCATTCATTCATTCATTCATTCATTCATTCATTCATTCATTCATTCATTCACTCTTTCATTCATCCATTCATTCATTCATTCATTCATTCACTCTTTCATTCATCCATTCATTCATATATTCATTCGTTCGTTCGTTCATTCTTTTTTATTTATTCTTTTATTCTTTCATTCATTCATTCATTCATTCTTGCATTCTTCCATTTCTTCACCCATTCATTCATATGTTCATTCATTCATTCATTTATTCATTCATTCATTCATTCGTTCATTGATTCATTCATTCATTCATTCATTCATTCATTCATTCATTCATTCATTCATTCATTCATTCATTCATTCATTCATTCATTCATTCATTCATTGATTCACTGATTCATTCATTCATTCATTCATTCATTCATTCATTCATTCATTCATTCATTCATTCATTCATTCATTCATTCATTCATTCATTCATTCAGTGATTCAGTGACTCATTCGTTCATTCATTGACTGATTCACTGATTCACTGATTCATTCGTTCATTCATTCATTCATTCATTCATTCATTCATTCAATCATTCATTCATTCATTGATTCATTTATTCATTTATTCATTCATTCGTTTGTTCATTCATTCATTCATTCATTCATTCATTCATTCATTCATTCATTCATTCATTCATTCATTCATTCATTCATTCATTCACTGATTCACTGATTCATTCGCTCATTCATTATTCGTTTATTCATTTATTCGTTTGTTTCTTCGTTCATTCATTCATTCATTCATTCATTCATTCATTCATTCGTTCATTCATTCATTGATTCATTCATTCATTCATTCATTCATTCTTTCATTCATTGATTCATTCATTCATTCATTCATTCATTCGTTCGTTCGTTCATTCATTCATTGGTTCACTGATTCATTCATTCATTCATTCATTCATTCATTCATTCATTCATTCGTTCATTCATTCCTTCATTCATTCATTCATTCATTCATTCATTCATTCATTCATTCATTCATTCATTCATTCATTCATTCATTCATTCATTCATTCATTCATTCATTCATCAATTCAGTGATTCATTTATTATTCATTCATTCTTGCATTCTTCCATTTGTCTTTTATTCTTTCATCTTTCATTCTTCCATTCTTTCGTTCATGCATTCATTCGTTCGTTCATGCATTCATTCATTCATTCGTTCGTTCATTCATCCATTCATTCATTCATTCATTCATTTATTCATTCATTCATTCATTCGTTCATCTGTAAAAAAACGTTCATTCGTTCATTCGTTCGTTCGTTCATGCTTTGATCGTTCATTTGTTCATTCGTTGATTTGTTCATTCGTTCATTCGTTCATTCGTTCATTCATGCATGCATGCATTCATGCATTCATGCGTTCATGCATTCAATTGTAGTCTCGTACACTACATGACATTACGTCAATATACGTTCATCAACTTACAACAGGTTGCATTACATTGCCGTGCGTTGCACTGCATTGCAGTGCAGCGCATTGCATTAGATACCTTTCCATACCATTCCATACCATTCCATACCATGCCATGCCATGCCATACCATGGACATCTTCACGCACACCCAGGTACCCAGATAGACACATGCACACATACACACATACGATCACAAACACATACACGTACCCACACATATATATACATATATATATATATGTATATGTATATATATATATATAGATATATCTACACAACCACATACCCACATACCCTCACACACACACGTACACACACACACACGTACACACACATATACACACACACACACGCATGCACACGTAGACACACAGACACCCACACACACATACACAGATACTGCGCACTGTACCGTGGTTTGTAGAGTTTGCGAGTTCAAAGGCATGCTCGTGTACGCCGAAAGGTGCCAATGGCAAGTCCTACACGGAGGCCTGGCGGTTCGCCGACTTGGGGCGTGCCATTTCTTGGTGTCGGAAAGGTGCCCGCCATCGCAACGTACTTGTCAGCCGGCGAGCCTGTGGATGTTTTCCACCGGTACTGCCAGGCGAAGGGTTCATTTGTGGCTGCATT